CGTTGACGTTGCCGTGTTCCCTTTGCCGTTGCGTCTCGCTGCTGTTGCCGTTGCCGTTCGTTCCTTCCCACTTCTGGCCGTCACCCATGCCACATACCATAGGCGTTGCCCAGCTAATGACATGTTGTAAATTATATTCCCTGTGCAATGTTTCGTTTCTCTTTCTTCTTGTAATTAGTTTGGTTTCGCTTTTTGCGCTGCGGCTGCTTAAATTCTGTATTTAAAGGCTTTTTTCTTGTCCTGTTTTGTAAGCATAAAAGTTGTTTGTGTGGGGTTAGGGGAAAGGATATCTTGTTAGGCGAGTTGGGCATGCTGCTTACGAGTGCAAACCGAACCTTTCAATTACCTTCAGCTGTGCTCTGAGATCAAAGTAGGCTTGAGCTCAAATTGTGGTTATCTTTAATTTAATTAAAATTAATGTTAATTAAAAATGTGCTGTCTTACGAGCAGGGTGCCAAACATCTTTAACTTCTTGTCCTCTTTGTTAGCAATTGTGTAAATTGTGTCAGATGTTGTTGTTTTTCGATCGTATGCTTTAGGAAATAGTATGTAATACTACATAGATGTGTTTTCTTTGGTACTTTTCTTTTTGTGCCCAATTGACCAGACATTTCTACGTAAAATGTATAAATCTAGAAAATATTTTAGATACAGTCATGATTATGATGTTTATGCCTTAAGATCGTTTTAATTTTGTGGTTATAATGCTGCTACTGCATATAGTCGGAGTCCCGAAAAATATTAATTTGAAAAGGATAACACTTTATTTTATTCTATTATTATTCTCTGTGGTCGCTAGGAAATCATATCTTCCAGAATTAAGAACAGACCCTGATCTGATCTTCAACCTGAAAGATAGACCCACGACAGTCTATCCAGAAGGAGGTTTAAAAATTTAATCAAAACCTGCAATTGAAATGATCAATGTACCCAGCTGTTTATGGGCTGAAGTTTGACATTTAACATGTAAATCAGTTTCGATTTTCCCGGAAAATTTAAAAATATCTGGCGGAGGAAACCACTCAAGTGCCAGCTGAAAAATGTGCATTACCATAGCTTGATCTTCAAGTGATCGATATGAGATCCTGTACCCAGATTAATGTAAATACCTCTGTAAATCTCACGCTAACTACGCGGACTAATACAAAGCGTAATTATGTGTAAGCCAGGCGCGGTAGTTCAACTCCTACCTCGTCTAGCGTTTTTCTACTCTCCCTCCTTCCCGCTCTCTCTCTCTCTCTCTCTCTCTCTTGTGGCTTAGCAGAGAGCGAGCGAGCGAGAGTCCCAGGACACGAAGCATAGCAAATTTCGGTGTTTTTGTGCAGCATTCGCTGCAGCTCGTTTTTGCCAATATTTCACAAAAACATTTGCTTCACAAAAATCTATTGTTTGCCACGAACCAACTGCCGCTTTTCCTCTGCATTTTCCTCACACGTACACGCACTGACGCACACACATATGTACACACATATTTGTATATCATTCATTGTCCTGACAAACTTGTTTTTGCTCTTGTTCTTATGCGCGCTCGCTCTTGGTTTTCCTCGCACATTACGCTTTCGTACCGTCATTCGCATTAAAAGGACAACGCTCTGTGTCTGTGTCTGTCTGCTTGCCTGTACGTGTTCCCAGTGTGTGCATGTGTGTGTGTGCTGCCGCAGTCGGCGTCGCAGTCAGTGTCGCTGGGCGCTGCGCTGCTTCGTCCTCGCCAGGCACGTCGTGGTTTCAGTTTACGCTCGCAGCTCCGACAGCTCAGAACATGTTGCTGATCCGCGCCCGTTGCCGTGTGTGTGTTTATAGCAGCAGTTCATAATATACAAATATATATATAGTTGATGTACATATACACAAATACAAACAAGCATAAATATATAGCAACAAAAGCAACATCCTTAATATTATATTGAGAGCTTTCCCCCCACCTGACCACCAGCCGGCAGCTCCAGACACTCAGCGAATGTTGCGGCCCAACATATTTTTACAGTTACAAATACAACAAACAAATAATTCGTGTGTCAAATAAACAACAAATTGTGCAATTGTGCAAAATACAGCGAGCGCCAGCCAAAGAGAGCGAATGTGTGTGTGAGAGAGCGTAATTTCAAAGAGAGCGCGCCTAAGCGTAAGCAACAAAAAGCAAAAGGAAAAAAAGTGTAGCACACAAAAAAGTGACAACGTAAAGAAGAAGAAAAAAGTTATTATTTTCTTAAGCGAAATACAACAAAAGCAATATGTGCAATAAACTGCAAAAAACAGGCAAATAAAACAAGCAAATACTTGTAAACGTTTTGGGATTACAAAAGCAAAAGAGAGTGAGAGCAAGCGAGTGAGAGGAAGAGCGCACACAAGAGTACGAGCGGGAGGCAGCATGAATATAAAATTCATCGAAGCGCACACAAGTGAGTCTTTAATTTTCAACTTTTTTTCAATACACATATATACACAATGCATATTACTTATAAACCCAAATGGCACACACACACAACCACGCACACACACATGTGTATATGCATGTATACGGCAGTTGCTCTCTCTCTCTCTCTATCTGTATTCATGCGACTCGCTGGTTTGCGTCTCGCCCAATTGCGCCTGTTTTCGTCCTGACAGCATGCGCTCTCGCTTGCGCACACAGCGCGCACTCGTCGTTAATTTTCTCTCCGTTGTCCTCGTCATCATCGTTTCATCGGGTGGTGGTACAGTTTTCTGCGTAGACCCAAAATTGCGTAAATTTTCTTCCATGTAGTTTGCTTGCATGTCTCGCTCGGCGTTGTCCTCATCATCGCCGTTGCTGTCGTTTTCGCTGTCGCCGTTGCCGTTGTCGTCCTTGTTCCCGTTCGTCCTGTTGTCGTCAAGCTTTCAATTTGTTTATTCATCAATTCTTTACTGCCAATAAACATTTAATATATTCCACAAAGAGGTTTGTACTTTGGTTTTTGTGTTTCATATTCTTATTGGGCGTGTTTTTCAGTGTATCCTTTTTGCAGCTCGCTATTTTGCTCTGCGCCATTTTAATTGGTGTCCTTTATATTTTTCGTATGTATGCAGCTGCGGGGATTAGTTGATTTTTGCAGATTTCTGAATACCTAATATCTAACATTTTCAAACTGTTTCCAGGCTGTGTTTAAATGTTTTCTATTTTTGGTTTTATTAAAGGAAATAGTTTAAACTTTTCTATACACTATTCGTGGATACATATAATATGTATGTGTATGTATCGCATTAACCCAGATACTCAAAAAGCTACTCTACAAGAAAAGAAAACATCAGTTTGTCTATGTGTGGAAGAGGAAAATGGGAAAATTTAAATTTATTTATTTTGTTATGAGCTTTGCCAATGATAAAAACAGGAATGGAAAATAAAAGAACGATTTTTTATAGTTTTTAATGATGAAATATAGGTAGTATAGTATGTAATTCAGTGAGAATGAATATAAATAATTTTAACAGGCACATTTTCCCAGGTTTTAATAGTCTATTATTAAAAGATGCTAACTTAAATTTTTCACGCAGTGGAGATGGAGCTGTTTAAAATGTAATTGTCGAGAAATGTGCACAATAGATATTGCACTAAAAGTTGAATTATTAGTTAACTTTAATGAGAATTTAAGTATATAATTAACACCAGAACATGATCACATCAAAACTTATAGATAGTATTAAAGCGTTTGTCTAGTTTTGAAAATTGTCAAAAGCCTCAAATATAGTTTGCTTCTTTAGATCAGGTTTTGTATTATGCGAAATATTGGCATATTCCTCAGACTACTTTTTGGAAAACATTTTTCAAATTTCAAATATACGATATTATAATGAAAGCAAATAAATTCTTATTGTAATTAAATCTAAACTAAAAGTCAAGATGTATAGCTATAGATATATACTAGAGGCTTAATACTGCAATATTAAATTCTAATATAGTACAGGTTTAATTCTATATAATTAAATACTAATATAGTACAGGTTTCACACTGCAGCATTAAATACTAGTTTTTAAAAAAGGATACTTTGTATATAAAATTATTATAAGTACGTATTTTTTCCATAAATCTTATTTACCTTTAATATACTGATTTCAGAGTTTTATTTAGTTTTGGGAGTTTAAGAAACTTTCTCTTCAGGCAAATTTTAATTAAATTCTAATGCAATTACTTTAAAAACCTGTTAACATAGCTCGCTTTACATTTTTCATTGAACATTGCTTAAACTCTTTTTATCTACAAGTTGTGCCTGCTTAAAGGTCGAAATTGTTTCAAAACCCATCCATAAAATATTTTACCTATTTGTTTATATATATTTATTAATAAAAGACTATATTTAATTTGTAAATCCATCAAATTTTCAGCCAAAAACGTTTTTTGACAAATTTTTCTCAACTATTATTTATATGATAAAAGCCTTAAACTTTCAGCACTAAACCAAAATATACAAAACGGTTTGTAGCATTTTTTTAACGATTCGAAAATACAGTATATAAATATATATATTCAAACATTTCTATTAAAAATTATTGTAAGCCTATCATAGTATAGGATCAATGCACCTTTTCAAGCTGGCCATAAAAACTAGCTGCACAAGCAGCAGCAGCAACAACAGCAACTGCCTGGGCTGCATATCCTGCCAGCCTTTGAAGCCTGTTCGCCTGCCTGCCTGCCTGCCTGGCTGTGCTGCTGCCCTCTGTGTGTGCCTTGTCTGCCTGCTGTTGTTGCTGTCCCATTGAAAAAGGGCGCTTGAAAATGAAGTTGCAGCTGTTCCTGTTTCACTGCTATTTGCTTAGCAACAACAACAATAACAGCAACAGCAACAACAACAGGAGCAGCAATGGCACCGGGGGCAGGGCACGCACGCATTCATGTCAAGTCTTAGGCATCTGCGCTGGATTAATGCGCTGATCGCTGCTGAGAAGCTGCCAGCAGAGGCGGCACCATTTGTTGCCTCGCTCTCTAGCTCTCCAGCTCTCTTGCTGCCTCTCTCTATCTATCTATTTCTCCCTCTCTCTCTAACAGTTACAGATCGAGTTGATTAAACAAATATGTCTGATATACCGCGCATTATGGTTTTCCGTCCCACCTGGGAGGAGTTCAAGGACTTTCCCAAATATATTGCCTATATGGAATCACAGGGCGCCCACAAGGCCGGACTGGCCAAGGTGGTGCCGCCATCCGAATGGGTGCCACGTCGCAGTGGCTATGCGGATTTGGATGCTTTAAATGTTACAATACCGGCGCCCATTTGCCAGGTGGTTACCGGCAAACAGGGCTATTATCAACAGATCAACATACAAAAGAAACCGTTAACAGTTAAACAGTTTAGCGAATTGGCCAGCACCGAACGCTATGCCACGCCCAAGCATTTCGATTTTGAGGATCTGGAGCGTAAATATTGGAAGAACATAACCTATGTGGCGCCCATCTATGGCGCCGATGTTAGCGGCAGCATCACAGACTCCGATCAGGATGTAAGTTTGGAGTGGACCGATTTTTTTTTTGTTATTGTTTTTTATATGCCTTGTTCCGCTGTTCGCAGAGCTGGAACATAAATCGTTTGGGCAGCATATTGGACTTTGTCAACAAGGACTATAATATACAAATTGATGGCGTCAATACCGCCTACTTGTATTTTGGCATGTGGAAAACCACATTCGCCTGGCACACAGAGGACATGGACTTGTATTCAATTAACTATTTGCACTTTGGTGCGCCCAAAACGTGGTACGTGGTGCCGCCCGAATATGGACGACGGCTGGAAAAGGTTGCCAATCAGTATTTTCCGGCCAGCTATAAGAATTGCAATGCGTATTTGCGTCATAAAATGACGCTCATATCGCCACAAATACTCAAGCACCACAATGTGCCCGTTAGCAAGGTAAACCCAACATTCAAAATTCCATTGAGGAAATAGCTAAGAAATATGAGCCGGAATTCGAGTTTAGGAATTGGATGTCCTTCACAGAGCTAATTTGAGCTAGCTTGTCAATGCCTTAGAGCAAATCCAACTGAGGACCTCCTTATTTATATATTTAAGCAGTAGACCCAGTGATTCATTATATTCAAAAACTTCGCTCTTTGATCTCTTTTGTCTACTCGAGTACTCATACCTAGTACTCACATTTGCCGGCTTCCAAAAAAAGCATGCATTCCAGTTCCCAAAGGAATTTAAAAAACTTCCGAGCGCTTAATTCTTATTCATAATCGAATAGGATTAGGACATTGAAGCCTTTCATGACATTTCTTTAAGGATTTGAAGACTGGAATCGGAAGACTTCCACAACAGTTCACGTATTTAGGCACCTAACGAGACTTGATTCTGGACTTGCCACAAGAATAGCTCTCCATAGACCCAGCTCGAATCCTGGCGCTCACATTTAGCCAAAGCTCTTGCCCCCTTCCTATGCTTATCACATCTTCCCCCATTCATACAGATCACACAGGAATCGGGCGAGATAATGATTACATTTCCCTTTGGCTATCATGCTGGCTTCAACCATGGCTTCAATTGTGCCGAATCCACAAATTTTGCCATGGAACGCTGGATTGAGTACGGAAAGCGTGCAACGCAATGTACCTGCAGCAACGATATGGTCAAAATCTCAATGGACACATTTGTGAAGCGTTTCCAAAGCGAACGCTACGATGCGTGGCTGGAGGGACGCGATGTGGGCCGTCATCCGGAGGATCCGCCCAATGCGGTGCCTACAGCGGCACCGCTGCCGCCGCATCTCGATGTGCTGTTGTGTGATAAAAAGTGGGTTGAATTGAACCCATCAAAAAAGGCATTTTAATATATTCATTTACTCATCCTCTCACAGAATGAAGAAGCAATGTAATCCCACCAAGGCGAAGAGTTTCAAGGAGCGCAATCCTGATTTGGACTTGGATGAAATCCAACAGAATCCCAATGTGCCCGACGATGTCAAGGCCATGCTAAAAGAAAGCGTGCTCACGCTCAACGAAGAGGATACCGAATTTGCGCCCGAGGATGCCATGAGCCTGCAGAGTCCCGCTGACTTCAAGACCAAGCAGGAGCTGCTAGAGTACATAGACGATGGCACTGGTGAGCCGTTAAACCACTCCCCAAATGCCTAACAGCCAAACCAATGCGCCTTTTCTGTTCTTTTCTTTTGTCTCTGTGGGGTTCTCTTTGCAGAGGATGACGATGAGGAGGAGGACTTCAAGCGGCGCAAACATAAGCGCAAATATGATGCGGACTACGATGACGATTGGCTGGCGAGCAAACGACGCACCAGCTCGCGAAACAGCAGTCGCGGTCGCAGTCCGCGTGCCAATAAAGACGATCGCTCCATATCGCCAGCATCCTCCACATCCACGTCCTCCACTTCAAGAGGGGCGCGCGGCGGCGGTGCGCGCGCCAAAGCGAATTCCACCCCGCGCAAGACGCCCACACGGCGAAAAAAGGAGGCCACAACAGCAGCCAGCACAGCAGCAACAGCAGTCAGCACAGCAGCCACACCAGCAGCAGCAACAGTTGCAGCCATCACTGAGAGTAGCAACAACAGCAGCAGTGTTGGCGCAGGTGAGCGCAACAGCAGCAACAATTTGAACAGCAGCAGCAACTGCAGCATCATCAACGGTAGCAACAGCAGCCACTGCAGCGCCACAGTCACAACAGCAACAACAACCATAGTCACATAAGATTCACAGTTCAACAGCCATCAAACATCAACATCCGCATCATCATCATCCAGCTAATCCAGTCAACCAGCAACTAGCTAGCCCCATCCCCCCAACTGTTGACTAACTAATTTTAAAACCATTTCAACCCGATCCCATTCAAAGCCGCTTTTGTCAGCGTTTTCTTTGTCAACGTCGTCGTCGTCGTCGTCTTTTAGTTTCTTTTCTCGTATTTGTGTTTTTTATATATGTACATGTATTTGTTTTGAAATTAGAAACTTTTGCTACAAAATAAGTCGTCAAAGTTGTGTCCTAATTTGTAAGCGCCTGAGAAATATATGAGAGCACGCTATATATATGTATACAGACATGTGTATATATATATTAAAAGAAACTCTATGCTAAAACTAACCAAAAACCAAAACTGTTTTACTAAAAAAAATTCTAATGAGTATCTAACTCGATTGCTGGTTGGGCTTCAGTTTCAGTTTCGATTTGTTTCTGCTGCAGCTTCGTTCGTTCGCTTTGCTCTCTATATATATATATATGTGTGAATATGCTATATATCTCTATATATATATGCTGTGTGTGTGTTTGTGTGTGTCGCTTCACAATCCCACCGCTTACCTGCCACCATATAACAACCACATCAACAACATCCAATCACAATAAACTAACTTTTATAGCACATATAATACAAATTTCGAACGCATTTTTACAGATATTAAACGCAAACTCAACGAACAACAACAGCATCAGCAACAGCCGCTGCAATTTATGCAACAGTCGCGAAAATTTGAGGGCAAAATACCAAAACTAAGTCAACAACATCAGCAGGCGACAGCAACAGCAGCAACATCTAGTCAGCAACAACAACAACAAATTGTTTGCATCAACATGTTGCCCGCAGCCAATACACTAAATGGCATTCCACAGCAGCAGCAGCAGCAACATCAGCAGCAGCAGCAACAACAACAACAACAATATACCAGCACGGATGGCAATGTCTATCAGCTGCAAAATGAAATACTCTGTGATGCAAATGGGCAGGCAACAACAGCAACAACGGCCACATATCAAACAACAGCCGCCAGCAGCAGCAACAGCAGTCCGCAGCAGCAGCAGCAGCAGCATCAGCAACAGCAACATGTTGCTGCCAGCGTTGCCGGTAAGTTGAAATTTCTATATACTATATATGTATATTTCTTTTGCAATACTCTTACTTAAAACCTTGTTCTCAATTACGTTTGTCGTTTTGTGTAGTATTTTGTTGCTTTCATTTTGTGTGCTCGTTACAATTCCAATTTTTGTTTTTGGTTTTTGTTCTTTCATATTTATTAGCTACATTTACTAACTCCTTTTTTAAATTTCACTTTTATTTAAACGATTCCAATTGGCAACATGTAATTATTTTTATACCATTTATCAAGCGCTCAACTCTCAACATTATCATAACGCAATGCATTAACAATTTGTAGAAATTTAACTTTAATTTTGTTTTGTGTTTTTGTGTTTGTTTATTACCTTTTTTGTTGTTTTTTGTTTTCGTAATTTCTAACAATTTTGTGCCAAATCAAACTGCAGCTAACAAGAAGAAGAAAAACGTGAAATGCCAAAGCAAAAAAAAAAAAACGAAAAGAACATACAAATTTGTTTACTATATGTTTATTCAATAAAATGTGCTGGTCTTCCATTTGCGGTGTTTTGTACAATTTTGTGGGCACAAATTGCCCAAAAAAAAATATAAACTTTTTTTTAAAATAAAAAAAGAAAATTATTAAAGAACGTCAGTTAAGCTGATTTCATACACACAAAAACTTTATACAAAAAATCAGAAAAAAGACTTCCAAAAGAATATCCCAGCTGAATGCATCCCAAACAAATAACAAATCGCTTTTCAGTTCTTTTACACAATTTACACCTCGTACATCATGTTAAACTGTCTGTCTCCCTCCCTCTCTTCTTGCTGAGCATATTTTACTTGCTGTCTCATTTCTGTTGATATATATATTTATATATGCAAACAGATATCGAAATATAATAAAAAACATATAAATAAATGCACAAATTAGGCCCCAGCAATATATTGGAATATATTTATTATATATTTGTATACGAATGTGATTGATGATGATGCAAAGCACATTTGAAGAAAGGCTCAAAACTTATTTATTTTTTCATTTATTCATTTATGTATGTATTTATATTTTTAGTTTATTTAAAGTTGTTTTTAGTTTAGCTGTTAAGTTATTTTTTGCTGTTCACAATGGAGTCGACGTTAGATTTGAAAGTGCGCTATATTCGTTCCGGTACAGCACAACTTACTTGGCACTATTCCCAAAAACAGTTACTATTCGCACAATTTTTTATTTGTAGCTTAAAATCCGACCTATTTGAATAGTTAATAGAAATATGCTACAGTTTAAAAGTTGGTCAAACTTTGGCTGGCTTTTTGTATATGTTCCAATTCCATTTCAAATCTTGCATTACCCCCGCCACCTTTTGCCACATTTGCTGCAAGTCTGCAACTTCCTTCAGTCAAAGAACAAAATATAAAATAATTAACATATTCAACTAGCGGACTTAAATTTTGTAATAAATTATGCTCCTCATTTAAAAGTTCTTTTTATTGTTTGATAAGGCTTGACATAAATAGATACAACCATAATAAAACCTAAAATTATAGTTTCTTCAAGTTGTTAACTCTATTTACACTCGTTTCACTACAGAGTTACAAATTCAAGCCATTTTTGGCATACGAAAAGTATTGCCCATCAGTTGTAGAAACGATGATGATACCAAAGTGCTGCCCATCAACTTGTATTCCCCTCAATTCCATTGTGAACATTGCGCGTAGTATATTTTATTTTAGCATTTTGCACAAATATTATATTTATAGGTATTTTTTAGTACTTCTTATATTATTTATTATAGCCAAATGTGGCCATTTTCAAATTGGAATCAATTTTGTAAACAAGTAAATTTAAAAAAAATATATATCTTTAATTTTTCTAGATATTTTTTATTAACCTTAATTTACTTAACGTTTGCTACCGTATGAAAAAGTATACTGACCTAATTCTAATTCGTAGTGACTAAGTAAACACAAATTTATGCGACAAACAACAAAATAGAAAAACCAATTCACTCATTTCTCTTTGGTATGTAGAGTATGCAGCTATATGTGGGGTATATACGAATCGGATATGCTCTATATAAATACTGTTTAGTTCGATGATGATTTGTAGCTATAATTTTTGCACAGCCCATTGATTAATAATTGATTTTTTTCTTTCGGTATTTGATTTTGAGTGAATTGTTGATTGATTTCGATTTCGATTACGATTACAATTTCGATTTCGATTTTTCGAATTGATTTCTTGATTATTTATGCAAATATTACATTCAAACACATCTTTTATATGAACCAAACCGAATATATGTACTTTCAATCAATATAAACAAAAGACAATGTGGTCACAACTATTAGTTCGTCCTCCATCCTGCACACGAACGCCACCACAAATGGAGCAACGGATGGCCAACAGCAGCAGCAGCAGCAACAGCAGCCCCAATATCATTATATAACCACAACTGGAGAGGATGGCCAGACGCCGACGACCATAGTCTTTGAGAACTATAACGGAGGTTTGCCCGCGACGGCGGTTAGCGCCGCCGCAGTGACCCCTGTCGTTAGCAGCATCGATGTTGGCGGCGGTGGTGCTGGTGGTGGTGGTGGCGGTGGCACAGCGGCAACAACGACAACAACAACAACTGCGCTGGTGAACACGGATGGCACAATTATTGAGTTCGATGGCAGCACCTACGAGGAGTATCATGTGCTGAAAAGCGAGAATGGAAGCAGCGATTGCCTGAGCAATGGCAGCAGCGCCGTGGCGGCGGACATTATCAAATACGAGCCACAGCATGTGGGTGACGATGAGGAGCTGTTGGGTGAGGGTGAGGAGAGTGGACTGCAAGTTAAATACGAGGAGCAGAGCCTGGAGCATGAACATGAGTTCGAAGAATATCACGTGATTAAATCGGAAGTGGAGGCTGAGGCAGCGGAACAGGCGGCTGGCACCATCAGCTACACCATCACCAGCCACGACGAACAGCACCAACAACAGCAGGAGCAGCAGCAACAACAGCAGCAACCACAGCAGACCATCAATGATGCGATACCCGGCATGCTCTCGAAAGCGGCGGCGGCCAAGCAGAAACGTAAACGCAAGACGCGCGTCATTGCGGAAGATGAGCAGGGCGAGTATCTGGAGAAGATGAGCGTGCGCGGTCTGGACATAGCGCGCTACGAGCACATTATCGATGGTGTCGCCTATTGCCTGGTCTGTGCCAAGAACGACATCTTCAAGACGTTTAAGAACAAGTACAGTTTCCAGCGGCATGCGTACCTCTTCCATGAGGGTCAGAATCGCAAGATATTCGCCTGTCCCATATGCAACAAGGAATTCTCGCGGCCGGATAAAATGAAAATGCACAAGAAGGATAAGCATGGCGATGTGCCCATGCCGCCCTCGTCAGCGTCGAGCACGCCACAAAAATCTGATGCGACGGGCACGCCGGCGGCCAAGCGCGCCCGGACCACACGAACGCCGCGCGTGCGCAAGCTGAAGGCGGGTGATGCGGCCACGCCCGCCAAGAAGCGTTTGGCGCAAATCGACAGTGTGCTGGATGAGGTGCAGAATGCCGAGGTGGAGCAGCAACAACAGCAGCAGCAGCAGCAGCAGCAACAACAACAGCAGCAGCAGCAGCAACAACTACAACAGCAACAGCAGCAGCAGCAAACGACAACCGCAGCGCCGCAGCAGCAGCTGCAAACGCTGCCCTCGCTCGACTTTAGCGGCATGATACTGCCGGGCGGAGCACAGCTGGCGTTGGCCAATCCCGGCGCCAGCAGCTCGATGACGCTGCAACGCGGCCAGGCAACGCCCACGCAGAGCGCACAGCCCACGACAACGACGCTCATCTATTCGAATCAGCTGGAGTTGCAGCAGGCGTTGCTGCAGCAACAGCTGCACGGTCAGAGCATTATGATACAGGATCAGGCGGGCAATTTGGTGCCGTTGCAGCTGGATGGCACCCAAACCATCTACACAACGGCGCCGGCGCCGCAGCGTGCGCAGGCGACAGCGTATCAAACCACAACGCAGCAGCAGCTGCAACAGCAGCAGCAGCAACAACAGCAGCAGCAGCAGCAGCAGCATGAACAGCAGCAGCAGCAGGCCACCAGTCAGGCCCAAACGCAGCCCACACACTACGATCTGGACAATGTGACCTACCTCAGTTCGACGGCAGCGGCCACGCCCACACTGCCCAACGAGCAACAGCAGCAGCAGCAACAACACGTCATTGGCACCGTGCAAAGCTATCAGATACTCACGCCCGATGGGCTGCAAAGCTTTCAGCCCAAGCTGGAGGCCACGGAACTGGGTGATCTCTGTCCGTACACCATGAGCGCGACGGGGGCGCCACAATACACATTCACCACACACGCCAGCGCGCAGCCCACGCTGAATGCGAACGCGCTGGACGCCCAAACCCAACAGCATCACCAGCAACAGCAGCAGCAGCAACAACAGCAGCAGCAACAGCAATCGCAGCATTTGCTGCAACAGCATCAATTTGGCCACAATCCGCATCATCAGTTTATGGAGCTGAAGAATGAGCTGCTGATAAAGAGCAGCGATGCGTATACGCTGGACGCCGCCTCCATGTACCACCTGCCCTTCTCGCCGACATCGATGATAAACGCGGTTAACGATGTGAACACCTCGTCGCTGCTGGAGACCAAAGAAATTAGGTAAACACAGTCACTAAATCTTAAATTTTACTCTCTCTCTCTCTCTCTCTCCCTCTATCTCTATACTATATAACTATATCTAACTAAAAGAAACTATGCTACTCGCTACCAGCTAAGTAAACTCTTTAGTGTAACGCGCTCTCGTTTGTTTTAGACTCGCTCGCTCGCTCTCAATATCTCTCTCTGTACTCGCTATTACACTGTCTCTCTCTCTCTCTCTCTCTTTCTGTCTGTCACCTTTTATCAGTTTTGTAGCGTAGTCAGCGGCGGCGCTGCGTAATTGCTGTCAGCATGTTGCAGTCGCTGTACCGTTACGTTGCGTTCCATTCCGTTTCGTTTTGTTTCTTTCTTCTTTTACTTAGTGTTAAACAACGTCGCGGCAACTACTAAACTAAATAAACACACTTTTAAAACATATAAAAACCAATTTGAATTTCGAAAATATAAAAAAATACCACGTACATTAACAAAGTTAAGTTTATAATTTTTTTTAGTATTTTCTAGTAGTTTTTCTTTAAGCGTATCATATGTACTATTTATGTATTTTGATATTATTTTTAAATAATTATTTATACATGTAGCTGGTATATTGCTTAACTTATTTATTTTTCAGTTAGCTTAGCTTTAATTTCAATTTGTGCATTTATTTATAGAGTATTTTTATAATGACTTTCACCGATTTCCATACAAATATATTATTTCTGTTCAGCTTTATTGTTGCTTTCGGTTCTGTACAGTCTTCAGTGCTCCAAAGAACACCTTAAATATTAACATTTTACCATCAACAAAAAAAGAGACTCACAATTTGTTGAGCTTATATGTACATATACATTATTTGTTGGGTTTTTTTTCTTTCGCCAATAATTTGTATTACAATGTGTTACTTCAATGCGATTTTGTTCTTTTTTTTCTTTCTTTTTCTCTTATTTTATTTTATGTACACAAAACCAACCCACCAACCAACCAATCAATCAATCAATCAATCAAAACAAACTCGCATATTAAAAAAATAATATAACTATAGCTACGATATATCAGAAGCCGTGCTTCTAGCGCTCTGAAAAAGCTACGACAGCATAACATACAAAAAATAAGAGCGACAACTGCAGCCAAAGTACCAAAAACTATATATTGTTAAAAGTAAATCAAATGAACATACGATAAAACAATATAATTAAATGAAGAAAAGCAACGCAAATGGAAACCATTTACAATGCGAAAGAGCGGCATACAAATGAAAAACGACACTAAATGCATATATTAAATATGTTTGATCATAACGCTTAAATACTCATAATACTCATTTACATTAACACACATTTTACAACACTAACAAATGAGGATAAAATCGCATGCATTCAACTGCCACAACACAGCTGTACGTGTGTGCGTGTGCCTGTGTGTGTGCACACAAACAACAACAAGCAACTTCGCACATTTTATTCATTTTTGCGCACTTCATAAACATTTCATTTGCATTTGTTTCAAAATGGACACCAATTCATATACATATAATAAAAATTACAAATATATATATATATATATATAAATATAAAATTGGACTTTTAAAGTGCAAGGTATGTGTACTTTTTTATTCGCTTTTTATTTATTTTATTTGTTTTATTTACTCGTTTTAAGTTTTTTATGTTTAACAGCTCATTATCCATTACTAACACACATTGTTGCTAAATTTGAGGCTGTTCTCATAGGAGAATAGGAAGAAAAACAATAACTAAGCAAGTGGGAAGAACACTAAAAGACTTTTCCTTACAATATATTAGTTTATTTGTTAAAACAAAAGCTGAAATTCAGAATAATGGGAACCTCAGAAGGCTTTCCAGGGATTTGAGAACCTCTTAAGATTGATTTACATTATATTTACTTAAATCTTAACAGATTTCTACACTATGTTTTTTTTTGTCATTTATTTATATTTATTACTTTTTTCAAAGGGCCTCAATTATTATGTCGAAATTTTCTATTTACATTTATTAATTATTATTTTCGACAACAGGATTCCATTCCATTCCACTTTTGGCAATTTTATTGTTTTGATCAAAATGACATTTTTTCTAGGGCTGCCTTTCAGTAGTTCGATAAGTGTCTAGTATTTTTTAATCGAAATGTGCTTTTATGCGCTTCGTTCAAATACTAGAAATATGGCTGTGAATTGGGGATAGCAACTTAATTATTGCTCCAAATGTCATTCTGATTCTGTCAGTGCAAACTGTCAACTACAGTATTACCTGCCAATCAGATCTAAGGAAATTCTCTGGCAAAGATTAGATTTTCTTTTTTATTACTGCACGTAGTAAAGATTTTCTTTTCATTAATGGTACTTTTTTTTTTGCATACCTTTGATTTATTTACGCATTAATTGGCCTCACAATTGGTTACTCACAACAAAATCCATCCATTACTTGTACATAACAACACACCCAACATATCCATTCATACATACATATTTTATGATTTACTAACCCCAAAAACCAAAAATCTAATACTAAAACAGAAAAAAAGAGAAAGAAAAAAATCCTTAAATTAGATTTAAAAAAAAACAAGCATAATGCTAATAAAATTGTTTTAAATCCAAATATTTGTTCTTTTTCATTTTTCTCAACAAATTTTGTTCGCCCGTTGTGTTCATGTTTTGTGCTGTTCTTTTGTCATACTTATAATTTGCATACAAAATTCATATACAACAACAACAACAACAAACAACAACAACATGCATCACCACAACAACAACAAAAAAAACCACAGGTTCTTCTAAACAACAAGCATACAACAGCAAGAACAACCAGTTCAAGCGGCCATACACACCACGCTACAACAACTACAACAACAACAACACTCAGAACAACATGCACAACAGCTACAACAACAACAACAACAACAACCACAACGATTGGCAGCGTAGCCAGGGCGAAGCGAATCGCATCTATTACGAGGAGATTGTCGTGAAACAAGCCAATTCACGCGCTCTCCTCGCCGCCGACGGCAACAGTCGCAATCGCAGCAGCAACAGCGGTAACAGCAACATCAGCAGCAGCAGCAGCAACAGTTGCCATAGCAACAGCAACAGCAATCGTAGCGCCGCGGTCAGTTTCGTCGACAAATTCGCTGACTTTGTTACGCATAATCGTAGAAATTTGAAAATCAACCGCGTCTCTCAAGTGCACAACAGACACACTAATAATTACAACGCTGTCTCATCTCTCATCCCAAATTCTAACAACAACAGCAATGGCAACAACAACAACAACAACAGCAGCAGCGCGGGCAACAACAACAACAACAACAACAATGTGAGCAGCAGCAGCAGCAATGGCATCAAGGCAACCATCGGCAAGAAGACGCCCGTCATTCTGCTGGCCGCACGTGGAGCAGTTGGCGCTGGTCACAAATCGCAGCAGCAGCAACAGCAGCAGCAACAACAACAACATCCGCCGCTAGCCCTCATCAATGGCAGCCAAACAGGCGGCAAGCCATCGGTCACATTGCTGCGCGTCAATGCGAACGCCAATCGCAGCCGCCAGGTCATCATCGCGCCAGACGCATCTAGCCTGCAGCAACAGCAGCAGCACCAACAGCAACAGCAGCAACAGCTGCAGCAGCAGCAGCAGCTGGTTGAGGACGAGGAGGAGCTCATCGATGAGGATGTCTATGAGGATGGCTTGTGCTCATCCACAGCGCAAATCTTGCGCAAATTTCGCATACCCAAAGGCACTGCGCTTACGGCCAAATCAGTGGATGGTTATTTAACCATGCCCACGCCCACGCCCTCGCCGCCAATTGCAGCAGCTGGCGTTACGCTAGATGCGGCCAGCTATGTGGACAATACAGACGACATCATCGAAGAGCTCAACGAAGATGATCTGGTCGAGGAGGTCATCGATGAGGAGACCAACTGCGAGGAGCAACAGCTGCTGCTGCAAGAACAGCAGCAGCAGACAGCGCATGACAACGATGGTCTCGATCTCAGCAGCAGCAGCAACAGCGATCACACAGCAGCTGCGGCAACAGCGCCAACAGCAACATCCACAATGCTGCTGCAGCAGCCGCAACAGCAACAGCAGCCGGCGGCAGCGCTGCAGCTGCAAACCGTGGGACCCAATGGCACCGTGACCTGCTTTAATCTGCCACCGAATACGATATTGGTGCAATCATCCGATGGCAGCATTATAGCGCATCCCAGCAAGGCTGGGCAGCAGCAGCTGATTGTGCTGCCCGCGGACTGGGCCACGGCCAATATGGCGCTGGCTGAGACGTCGGCAGCAGCAGCAGCTGCGCCGCAGCCAGCCCAAACGCAAACCCTGCTGCTGACAGCCGATGGCACCGCCATACCCATAATGGCACCACTGCAGCAGCAGCAGCAGCAGCAGCATCAACAGCAGCAGCAGCAGCAGCAGCAACAACAACAGGCCGCAGCTGTTGCTGCCGCAGCGCAGCTTTTTGCCGCGTAGGGTCTAATGGGTGGCCAAATGGGTCGATTTTTGAATAATGCCACAATAATGCCAACAACATATTTCTTTTAAATTCAATCAACGAATGTTGCGCTTGCCGCAAAGCAGCCACATGATTGGGCACAGCTTCGTTGTGCTGCTTTGCGCCAGTTGCAACAGAGACTAAATCAAAAAAAATAAGAATAGACTTTAATTTGTTTATATAATTTGTAAGCCCTTTCGACAATTTGTTAGGGGCATAGAACATCCAAAAATCGACGCATTTGGCCACCAACACAGGCAGCAAAAACACAAGCAAATCAAAACACAATTAAATTAAATCTATATTTAAACAATAAAAACGAAGCCAAGTAAAACTTAATAGCAGCCACAAACTCAATTGTAAAGCTAGGCAAGAAAAAGTATAAGAAACTCAACTGATATTACATAATGTTAAAATGCATACCAAATCTATTTTTCTACATAAAAAAAACACATAGCATGCATATATATACATACATAAAGAATCCTATATATATATACTTTGTATATAGTATATATAAAACTCATGTTTATGTTCATGTTGTGCGCAAAATGTAAAATGAAATGAAGTGAAAAATTCAAACAAAATGTTGTTCATAACTGACACACACACACACACACACACACACGCATGCACTCACTCATGCACGGCAGTGTTGTGTAACAAATTCTGTAAATTTCAAAACGACATTTAAATTATTTTTTAACACTAAGTAGCGTATATTTAAGTGCAAAAACAAAAAACCACCAACGAGACACCCGAGCCCAGTTTTCTAAATAATATTTTGAGCAGGCGCTGCCTCAGCGCCAGGCAAAAATTATTTTTAACTTAATTTAATGTTCTTAAAACTAAAAAAAAAAACAAAAAAAAAAACTTTTTCTGTATTATTTGGAAAAAACTAACTCATAATTTCTGCTTACCAAACTATGTAATAATTTAAAGCAATTACTTAAATACTATTTATGTATAAATATATATTTATATGAACGCATACACTTATATAATTTGTTCCTTTGCATAAAATAGATGAAGCCAGAAAACCCTATTGGCAGCTATGCAACGTATTTCACTTAAAGAGTATTGTCCGTAATAATTTATTTGATATATTTTTTTTATTGTTGTTCATATCTCTACCCTTAACAAACGCTACCCATCCACTCACATTTCCCTTAAATGTTGTATATTATTTAAAAACAAAAAACATACAAGTATATATATTATTTGCAATTTTGTTAAGCCATCCTGCATGCGTTAAAAATAAAACATTGATTATGATTAAACCTACGCCTAAGAATTGAAGCATAGCACTGACCGAAGTTGTTTATACTAAGCGCGGTACCCTAGTTAAGATCAAAGTATTTTTTCATAATCACAATGCAAAAACCGAAAAACAAAAACACGAAAAAAAAAACAAACAAAAACTAAAGTTATTGTTTAAGCCTAAAGAACTATTACTAATGGAAGACAATGATACAGTTTCAAAGCATATTTATTTTAAGATCACAACCAACAAACAAATAAGAAGAAGAGAAATATTGGAAAAGTGAGCTACACTTTTTGTAAGATAATTATGTAGATTAAGTCGTAACGAATAAACGAAACTGCAAGTAAATAATTAAGCGAACATGAGTAGAATACATTATGTATAAAAAGTCTATGAATAATAATAACTATACATATATAAATATATATTTATTATAAACAAGAAAAATACAATTTTAAAAATTCAAAGCAAATAAATAATTAAAATAAAAATTTAAATTTCAAATTGTCTATGTGTCATATTGGAGAAAATTGTGGTAAGTGAAAAATATACTTTTTAATGGTATAAATATATATGTATAAATGTCTCACAAATTGTAAGGTACAATTTTATTTAATTTTTAAATCAAAAAACAATAAATTTTTTTCCTTAATAATTTTACAAAGTCTTAGGTTAGCGCACGAGTTTAAACCAAATATTTTCCAATATTACTTCGTCGTAATTGTTTTAGAAAAACTATCCGATAGCAAGGAAGAAAAGTCTTATCGATAAATTAGGACGTTAGCGAGACAAGGCAAACCAATCAAGTTATCGATTGTTTTTCCACCAATAAAACCGTTTCCGTTCAAACGCAAGTGTTTTCAAAAGTACCAAAACAGTTTTGTAAAACTATCTCTGTGTGTATACATATATTTCAATTCTGGTTCTTGTAACATTAACAAAAAGTATAGCTAAATTTTGAAATTCACATAGTATGTATAATATATATAATTATATATCAATAATTTGGTTAAACAAGTGCGCCTAATCGCTGATGCGCGCATAAACAACGGCCGTGCGGCAAGGCGTATAGACTTGAATGAAATTGGAGCGACCGGCATGACCCCAGGGATCGGATTGATGCTTGCAATTCATGTCGATGCGATTGTGGCCGCCAAAGATGGGATCGTCGGAGGAAAGCACCGCCTGATAGGTGCCCGCCCAGTTGGTGCCAACACGATAGTCACTGAAACTTTGTGTTGGGTGGAAGTTGAATACAAATACGAGGCCGGCACGTTCAAAATGAATGGTCTTGTCGCCCTGGTGTTTCCAGCTCACATAAGCAGGACCCGAGTGCAGCCATCCGTAGCGTTCCTCCAGCTCATTCATGGCACGATCGAATTCATTAAGGTATTTATACTTTAACAGATCGTCATCCACCAGATTCCACTGGCGACGCGCATAATGATACGAGTCGTTGTTGCCCACGCGTGGAAAGTCCAGCCACTCGGGATGACCAAACTCATTGCCCATGAAATTGAGATACGCCTCGCCGCCCAAGGCGTGCGTAATGAGTCTTATCATCTTATGCAGCGCCAGGCCACGATCAATAATTAGCGAAGGCTCGGATACTTTTGACATATGCGTGTACATCTCCTTGTCCATCAGCCAGAAGGCAATGGTCTTATCGCCAACGAGCGCCTGATCGTGCGACTCTGCATAGGCTACCGTGTTTTCCATCCAACGTCGATTGGTCAGTGTGTGTACAATATTGCCAACGTCCCATTCATCATCGCTTTGCTCCTTCAACAGCTCGATCCATTTGTCTGGTATGGCCATGCCCAGCCGATAATCGAATCCAATGCCGCCCTCCGACACGGGACGACACAACGTGGGCATTCCAGAGACGTCCTGCAACAGAGGAAACCGAAGTTTAAACTGGGAAACTATGTGAACTGAAATACTTGATTTACCTCGGCTATAGTTATAACCTCGGGATCCAGCTTGTGCAGCATATAATTGGCCAGGCCCAGATAGTTGAGCGCATCCGTGTCCACATTAAGGCCAAAGTACTCGTTGTAGTCACCGCTGAAGCCCTCACCAATGCCGCGCGAATGATATAACATGGAGGTGACGCCATCAAAGCGATAGCCATCGAAATTATACTCGTCGTGCCACCAACGTAAATTGGACAGTAGAAAGCGAAGCACCTCATGCTCCGTGTAGTTGAACAGACGGCTATCCCAGAGGGAATGCTCTCCACGGGCGCCATCGTGGAAGAAACAGCTATTTGTGCCATCGAACTGGTTTAGGCCATCCTGCACATTCTTGGAGGCATGCGAATGCACTACATCGAGCAGCACATAGAGACCCTGGGCATGAGCTACATCGATCATGCGCTTCAGCTGTTCCGGATTTCCACAGCGACTGGACGCCGCATAGAAACTTGTCACTTGATAGCCAAAACTGGCGTAGTAGGCATGCTCCATGATGGCCATCACCTGAATGCAGTTGTAGCCCTGACGCTTAATACGAGGCACAATGCGATCGGCAAACTCATCGTAGCTGCCCACGCGCGGCTCCTGCGAGGCAATGCCCACATGGCACTCGTAGATTCTCAGCGACTTGGGCTTGGCGGGACGCGCATTCTGCCGTTGATATCGCTCCCCGGCTGGCGGCTGCCACACATACTGCTTAAAGTTGACGCCTTGATTTGCGCTCTTGGGTGGCTGCACCACATACTTGGCCCAGGGCGATAGACGATCCAACAGTTGACCGGACTGATTGCGTATGATGATCTTTATCTCACTGAGATGCTTAATGGGCGCACTACCATCTGGATTGGCGGGCAAGTGCAGCTCCCACTTGCCAAAGGGCAGTTTCTTGAACGGATGCGATTCCCAGTGCCAGTTGTCTATTTGAATTTTAATTGAAAGCATAAGCAAAGAATTTAACTATAAAGGCGCCGTTTTGAGGTAAAACTGTTAAAATATCGATTGTTAGTACCGATAGTAATAAATTTAAAGTTATATTTGATCGAGTATCGATATCTTAACAGCTTTTAAGTAGGAGCGCCCATAGTAAACGGGCGAATTGTAAACAGGGCGAAACATGTTGCTAGCTCGCTTGCACATCCTTAGAAGAAGCTGCATCTGATCTTTCGCACTTTTCGCCATATATGAAATTAGTATACTCACTGAAATCGCCAGTTAGATACACATCTCTTGCGCCCGGCGCCCATTCCCGCGCTATCACTGAATTATCCGGCTGAAAGTGTAGGCCATAGTATTTGTAGCCCTGCGAGAATTCTTCCATGCCACCCTCGCATTGGTCGATCTTGGCAATCCACTCTTTTAGGACGCCATGTCTGCGTGGATATAAACAAAAAGAATAAAAATACGGAAGTCAAGTTGAGAGCTCAAGGCCAAGGCCAACAGATAGCGCGACGGCTGTTCCAAATGTTTTCACTGCATGTTGGCGGCGAACGCACGCAGCAGAAGCGAAGTAAATTGGATGACCTTCATGTGACATTGGTCAACGCAGTTTTTCCAACTGCAACTGTGGGGCGGCAGTACAAAAACAGTTGATATGATTATGCAGGGCATAACAACAATAAGCACTAGACGCTCGCTGCTTGCCTGCCCTGTTCCATACTTATCAGCCGGCGTTAACTTCGGATTACATGATGCGCGCCGCCCCATTAACCAAATGCACTCTGCGAATGTTTTTTGACTTACCGGCGGCGAATCTCACGCTCGAAGGGCTTCAGATAGCCGTCCATTTCTATCAGCTTATCAATGTCCTTAACCTCCACCTTCATCGCATCGCCCATGTTGCAAGCCGCTTAGAAATTAATATATGTACCTAATAACAGCTAAATAGAAAATAAATCGCGCACCCACCGGCGCTGCTTGCAAATTGACAACTGCGATGAACAGCGGTTGTGGGCCTCAATACAAAAGCTCTGACTGAGCTTTTTTTGCAGGCGGCGTTGATATAAAAAAACAGCTGTTGATTGGTGCTGCTTCTTCATTGGTGTCTTTTGCTGTGCTTGTTCGCGCATATAAACAACATAGCAATTAGTTGCATAGCCTGCTGATAACAGTAATAGGTGATAACGTGATAACGCGCATGGGCATGCATGCAGGCGATATGTATATACATATGTATGTATGTATGCATATGTACTAATTGGAATCGATTGCGTTGATATTTTTGAACTGGCGCCGGTGATTTTAAAGCATCTTTATTATGTAAAGGTTGAAAGGAATATTATAAATGTGTATCAATATGATCGTTGCCATGCCATGCATTTGTGTATGTATATACATACACATACTTGTATGCTCACAATGACCTTGTCCAATTGAACCCTTGCTCTGTTTCATTTTTCAAATTAATCTACAATTTATTCTATTAGTAGAAAACTAGACCGCCGATAGAGAGCATTTTTAACGCACTCTTAATTGAATAACAATTTAGTTATTTTGTAAAGCTGAAGTATTAAAAATATATTTGATCGGTTTCTGCCAAGACGAGCTTCTACCCTTGCTGACATATATTTCTGTACTTAACGTTGTTTTGAATATAGCTCAAAATATTTATATCCTAGTTTTATTTTATTTATTATGATATTCATTAAATTTAATAAAGAAATGTTTATCATTTTGTTTTGTTCAACTGTTATAATGCAGCTTTTGGCTGTGTGACCCTTCGGTATTGGTCTGAGCTTAATTTTCGATATACAAGAGAATTATCGAATATATACCAAAAGAATGGTCACACTCATTACACTTTTACAAAAAAGGAAAAAACTGCATGCCGACCACAATCAGCTGTTGTGGGTAGCGGCCATTTGCAGTCTGTTTTAGCGTCGCGGGTGTGCAGGAACGCGCTTCGTTTTTACGTTTAGTTTTTAGGTTTAGCGCGTTTTACTTAATGCCGGTGTCGCCCAATATAAGCAAGACACTGCATTAGGCAACGGTGAGTGTTAGCGACAGTAGACTTCTGAATTGTGAAGAGTTAATAAAATGTGTTCTCTTGTTCAGGCATTTTGTATATTTCTATACGTTTAATAAACGTACACACACTTCAAAGGATAAAATGGGTCGCAGCCGCAGTCCCGCTTCGCCTGCACACAGACGAAGGGAAAAGGAGCGCACAGAGCGCAAAAAAAGACGCGAACGACGCTCAAGAGAAAGAGAAGCCAATGTCATTGGGAGCAGCAGCAGCAGTCGCCGTGACCGGGAACGTGAGCGTGACAGAAGCCGCAGCCGTGACAGGGAACGTGCGCGGGGCAGGCGTTCGAGGTGAATAAGCAAGTGTAGTGTACCAAACCACAACGATAAGTATAAAGTACTAACGTTTTTTTAAATCCATTAATTATGAATATAACTACTACTAAGCAAAGCCACAAGGCTGGCTATTTAAACTGCTGAACTAGTTCAGCTGAACGGGCAGCGCCGTGGCACTTTTTCTGCTGCAATGCAACCCTGTTTGTGTGTGTGTGTGCTTTTGACAGTTCCCTCAAGCTCATTCGTTCTTTCGACAGCCTCCTGCAAATTACCACGTGAAGCGAAATACGTGAATTTCACAACAAAAGTTAAAGTACACTACTAAATAGTCAAATACAGCGAGCAGCTAGTGCCTGGCATTAGAAAGCAAACAGAGCTCGAATCAAATCTAGTTTCCTTGTACCAGATAAAAACAGCAATAAACTAAATTAGACACAAAATGGCGCTACGCGTGCAATTTGAGAACAATGACGATATTGGCGTCTTCAGTAAATTAACAAACACATATTGCCTGGTGGCAATCGGCGGCTCCGAGACCTTCTACAGTGCCTACGAAGCCGAGTTGGCCGAAACCATACCGGTGGTGCATGCCAACATTGGCGGCTGCCGCATCATTGGCCGCCTCACTGTCGGCAATCGGAACGGGTTGCTGGTGCCGCATTCCACCACAGACGAGGAGCTGCAGCATTTGCGCAACAGCCTGCCGGATGCGGTTAAAATCCAGCGTGTCGAGGAGCGTTTGTCTGCGTTGGGCAATGTGGTTGCCTGCAACGATTATGTTGCACTGGTGCATCCCGATTTGGACAGGGAAACCGAAGAAATTATCACGGACGTACTGAATGTGGAAGTCTTCCGTCAGACCATTGCCGACAATACGCTGGTCGGCTCCTACACAGTGCTGAGCAATCAGGGCGGCATGGTGCATCCCAAGACTAGCATACAGGACCAGGACGAGCTGTCGTCGCTGCTGCAAGTGCCGCTCGTTGCCGGCACCGTCAATCGTGGCAGCGAAGTGTTGGCTGCCGGCATGGTCGTCAACGATTGGATATCGTTTGTGGGCATGAATACAACGGCCACCGAGATTTCCGTTATTGAGAGCGTTTTCAAATTGAATCAAGCACAGCCGGCCACGGTGACAACAAAGCTGCGTGCAGCACTCATCGAGGAGATGTCCTAAGCGAACAGCTTTTTCTAATAGTTAAGCAAGCTCACACACACAACACACAAGCACACACACTTTGTTATCTTTTGTAAACAGTCCGCCAAAATACAAAACAACCACAAACAATTTGGTTCGAACCGGTTTTATAACATTGTTGTCCATCCGCCCAGTGAAAGGTGTCACGTTTCATAATTAAATTCTCAAATTACTGCTGTTTAATATACATGTACAAATGACCCTGCCCCAGTTGGCCCAAGTGCATTTTGCATTTATTTCCATTCTTAATTTAAATGCATTCAAATTCCAGTTCATTAAGTAGCCGCTGCGCATATTTCGCATATTCTTTTATAGATCCCGCTCGCGTGGTACCGGCAGCAGTTCGGGTCCATCCACATCGAGACGCGCCACACGCAACAATTCAGCGAGTGCAGCTGCAGCTGCAGAGCGTCCAAAGATCAATGAAGCAGATCTGGAGGGTAAATCGCCGGAAGAGGTTGAAATGCTCAAGACAATGGGCTTCTGCACTTTTGACACCACCAAGAACAAGAAAGTCGAGGGCAACGATGTTGGTGAAGTGCATGTGATCCTCAAGCGCAAGTATCGCCAGTACATGAATCGTAAGGGTGGCTTCAATCGGCCGCTCGATTTTGTCGCATAGCCGGCGGCAACTAGTTTTTTTATAATGCTACTGCTACATTTTTTCACGTTCTTTGCGCGTCGCATTATGCGACGTCAAAGCGACGGACCTGCAATTTTATGCAATAGACCGGTTTACAAAATTTCACAAATTTGCCAGACAAAATTTCCACAATCACCACAGAACTCAACACACACATACAAATACCTCATATATAACAAGCTAGTTATTTAGTAATTTAAGTCATTTGCGTTGTTTTAAAATTAGCTTTTGCCCGCCTCGAAACAAAAACAAAAGTTAATTTTACAACAATGGCAACGCCAACACCACCCTCCCACGAATGTAATTGAAAGCTCAATGCAAAAAATGTACTAAATTTTCGCTGATTTGCCAGTTGCCAGCGAAGTGGCAACACTTGTTGCTTGCTGACATTTTGAGTTTTTGGTAACATTTGAATTACATGTTTTTTTCTTTCTGTTTCTTTGCTTTCAATTGCATTTGCCAATGTTTAATGCACACGATTAATGCTTTTTAAATATTTAAAGTAATTACAATTGTTTTTGTTGTCAGAAAATCACTTACACACAATGCATAATAGTATATGTTGTGTAAGCATTTGGCGTTTGCAAAAACCACAAACTTACATACGAATTAACTGCAAATCCAAAATTCACCATATTCGCACTCACACACACATACACAATTACTTAAAGTATTTGAAAACATGCACACACACAAACAAAATATCCCCAACCCCAATATCCTTGCCCCACAAACTTCCTCCATACGCTGCAATAGTACAATTTTTACAACCAAAAAAATATATATCAAATATATATATTATATATAGAAAATTTATTTATACACACACACACACCAAGTACCTACAAACCCTATTAAATCCCTACCGTTAAATCGAACTCTACAATAGCCATAGCCATTTGTTGAAAATGTTATTTGTTTAACAATCAAAATGTTGTAATTTTTTTTTAATACTCAACAAACCAACAGTTAATTCATTAATCACAAGTGCCAAGTGAAAAATAGCAACAACAAAGCAGGCAAATTAAACAAGTTTATGTTTAAGTGCAGACGCAAATTAAATAAAAATATATACAACTTTTATACTTTTTTATATATCAATAACAATGTGTAAACAATAGTTATCAATTTGGCAACAAATAATATGAACTTCAAAACACAAACAAATTTGGCAAACTCACACACACACACACCTATATATTTCTTTGTAGTTTTAAATAAAACGAAATTGCAGGGATTTTTACTTACACCAATAAAGCTATTTAAATAAAACAAACTGAATACATATAAATAAATGTATACAAAAATAAAAGAGTATGATTTGGTTAGTTTCGCTATTCACATTTAAGTTTGAAAAAACTGTGTAAATTTTTAAAGAAAAACAAAGCCAACATCAAAATTACAAACGAAAAATCTGTCTTTTCATTTCAATAATCATCACCAGCATGGACAGAACAGTCTCGACTTGTATAACAAAAAAACAAAAAAAAAACAATATAATATCAAAATTTTAAGATTGGCCACGATGTATAGTTATGGTTTCCTTACGCGAGCCGTAACTGCCCAATTACAGGGTACCCCATTGGCGCCCTACGTGCCACACCGGCAGGTGAATGTCCGGAAACGTTCATTGTCAGTTGCGGATAGTTGTCGTCGTTATCTGCCCACCGATAAATCTACGGAAAGGGATTTCGCGCGCAAATGCCAGAAGGCATTCAATATGTGCAGACACGACGACGGCTCTGATTTGGATGACAATCAGATGATCGAGTATAAAGAGAGCATGGCGCGTATCTCCTGTCTGAATCTCGATAGCACATTAGCGGATGAGCATCGGTTGAAGGGCTGGCTGCCACCAAAAAAATGCAAAAAGTGAATGACAAAAAGCCCGTAATAAATTGCAAATTTTTTTTTAATCCAAATTTGTATAAAGTTCTTGTTTTAATTGGAAATTATGTGTGCGTATTCTTCTACTAATCTTAATCATTATGCGTCCTGATGATCCAATATGATACTTTAGATACTCCCCAATCTTCCTTCTATATGGCATATAACTGATACGCAATTACATTCATATATAATTTTATTTAAAGTATTTTCATGGGTTGGTTGTTTTACATAGAATTACACTTCTGTAAAATACACATTAAATCATTTTTGTTTTTATTTTTTTTAATGAATTGAGTTCCTCCGCTCGTTGCTTTCGTTATAATTTTTGTTTTTTTAAATTTCAGCTCAAATGTTATTTGGTCGCTTTAATTAATTAAATTTAATTATTATTGTTTAATGCATCTCGATTGATCAAGAGATTTTCAATGCAATATTTGCATTTGTTAATTGATGAAAGACACATAAATTTCATTTGTAATACGCAAATTTAATACAGTTTGCAATTTTATTGAAGATATTAAAAATAGTATAAAGAGAAATGTTTCGTAAACAAATGTGAACACGAAAATATGATAGAAATGAAATGAACGCTTTGCAAACGCTAAAGGATACGACTAAATATTTAGTTATTGTTACGTTTATATAATTATGAAATAAATGAGGTGCTAGGACGCGATTGCCATACTCGTAATTGCTGCTAAGAATCAAATCTATATATATATATATGTATATGCATAAAAAAAACTGCTACAGCTTTAATTGGAAAACAATTTTCAAATGCGACAAATTTGCATATATTGTGCGCGAAATTAAACAATTAAAAACAGGATCGTAATACAATAGCAACAATTTGCAGAATCCTCTCTTCTTGTTACATTTTCGTTTCGTTTGTTTGCTTGTTTATTGTGTAATGTTAGGTTAGTCTTTTTTGTTGCCACCCTTCTCGTCGCTGAACCGCTCCACAGCTTAATCCGCCTTGCGTGGTTTGCGTTTGCGCACTTGCTCTGTGCTGGGTTTATCTGATAGTTCGGGCGCCTCATCGCCAGCTGAGCTTGTAGTTTCTATTTTCTCTGCTTTATTTTCTGTCGACTTGTCCTCCAATTTATCGCCATTTCCTTGCTTGTTTTGCTCTGCCTCCACTTCAGCAGCTTCATCCTCCTCATCTTCATCGGCTTCCTCGCTGTTGCGCTCCTCGTCATCGCCACCTTCCTCTTCATCGTCTTCAATATCCTCGGTGGCCAAATCCTCAACTCCCTCGGCTAGATGCTCCTGCGATTCCGAGAAGCTTTGACGCTGCGATTTCTTTGGCGGATAAACAAAGTCCACGATGCACACGAGCATCAAGCCAAGGGCGGCGCCCACAAAGATTGTGGCAATGGCAAACAGAGCATAGGAACCCCAGGTGGGCAGACCATATTCCTCCTGCAGACGCGCGTTGAAGTCCTTAAAGAGTTTTTGTGTGTGCTATTAGTATATACAACATACACATACACGTACATAGACATATTATACAAAAGCGTGAGTTGGTGCGGAAGCTTAAAATCCGCCGACTAAGACCAATTGCTTTCAATCGACACAATTTTAGCCGGCTTAACCCCAGACAAATGAGAATTACACCAGTGTGCCAGAATGAGGCATAGCAAATATAACCTCTTGGCCCAATCGCGCCAGATAAGCTTCCGCATACGTGCATTGAACTGAGCTACGACACAACCGACCGATGCAGACGTAAACAAGTGATTGCATGGGCAGCAGGTTGACGTACCTTCAATGTGTGCGACAGCTTGAAGAAGTATGATAGCAGGGACATGTGTATGGTGTCGGGCTTTTTCCACGAGGACAGCGGCTCAATACTCTGCCAGGACTTCTTCTTGAGGAAGTACAACAGAGCGTCGGCATCACGTGCGCCACGATATTGCCGGAATTCGCCATCCTTGACGCTGCGATAACGAGAGCGTTGTAAAGAGATTGTGTTTTTTAATATCCTGTTAAGAGGCTTACTGATAGATCGTGGGCAAGGCGGTAACAAAGAAGCGTCCGCTAAGCGATGGTGATGTGGTTACATCGATCTTTGCCACATGGACTTTAACATCTTTAGCTGTGCTGGCATAGCGTTCCCAAACAGGCGCCAGATTTTTGCAGGCTGGGCACCAAGGAGCAAAACTGTAAATACGGTATATGTATTATATATGATTTGTTATTGATTTGATATTTTTATACATTGAACAAGAAATAGTCAGCTTGCAGACATATTGCAAATTTTATATGTATGCAAAAGTAGTCGTAGCATAGTCAAGCTAGTAATTTTTTAGTTTGATCAAGTTATTTTGAAGAAAAAAAAAGTTGCTTATAAAAGAGACTAATTTCTGACCGATTGCTTTTTTGGCTATGGATATAGTGGTCCGATGTGGCCAACTCCGACATCAGTGATGCCTACAGCAAAAGGGCTCTATACCAGGGCTGCAAGCCAAAAAAAAAGTCGGTAGTTCGATTCAACAGATTGTCTTTGAATTCGATTTGTGAACCCTCAATTGAATACAGGTTTTCGTTAAATATTTCAATATTTTCATAATCTAAATAAATCAATTACATTTTTAATTTATAATTTTCGTGTAGAAGTTGCGGGCAAAACTTGGTCTCTAACCAAAATTGGCAACTAGCGAAAATGATAAGATAAATAAATTGTTGGCGCCCAAGTTATTTATGCTTTGCGGCTGAGTCTCAATTAGCCAAAAGTTGTTATTGTTAACCCAAAACAGAAGGAGATGCGGTTCGGTTTGGGCATGTTGGCAACAATCCTTTTCAAGGACGTACTATGTATTCATTAGCCTTATGAAGGTGCTAACATCTTCTGATTTCTTTAACACGTTTCTAAATTTGGTTATGTTGTGTTAATTTCAATTGTTTGTTTAACATTTTGAACAATTTTTTTTTTTTTTTGGTAAAACAGCTGTAAAAACGCAGCTGCCGGTCATGACTCAGGCGCAGGTGACGCAGCCAATCAGCAACGCGCAACGCACATCTAAGCGGAATGCAACATTCCACAGAACCAGAAACAGCTCCAGCTATGTTGTTGTTGTTTTTGCAGTTGTGGTGTTTTCTTACCGGCTACACCCCACACAAACTGCGTCTGCGTTGACTTTTCTATTGTTGCGTATTTTTTTTTAGTTTGTTTTTCACTCACAATTCAATCATCCATTCGCCATTTAGCATTAAATGCCAGTTATCCTCGTCCAATTCGATTAGATTTCCATCTGGCTGCAATACTTTTTTGGTCGCCGTAGACGAGCGGTCGGCAGCGGACTGTGCAGCGAGCAGCGTGACGATGACACATGACGCGGCCAAAATGGTCGGAGTACAATGCATTTTTGCAATGTGAACTGTATATTTTGGCTAAAACGTTTTTAATTTCGGTTTTATTTAAGCTAAATTTTCACAATTATTTCCTTTGTTTAAAACACTTTTTTCTATGTTTAAACGTAGAAATTGCGGACGCTGCGCTGTCCGGTCCAACACAGTAGAGATGTGTAAGTATGCAGACTGACATTAGAGATGTGTGCGTCTTTTCAAACTATCGATATTTGGACATTTGTATACCAGAGGCTGTTAGCCCACCGTTGTATTCATCGCGAGCTGGGTAGCTGGTTATCGATATTTATTGGACAACGATTGCATATCCGATTAGAAAGACGAATAAAAACAAAGAAAATCTTACTAATATCAAATTGGACACAACGACAACAACTAAATTAACATATTGAAATTGTTCTAAAACTTGTGCAGATCGGTTAAAAGCGCGCCAAAATGGCCAATAATTATCTGCAGCCAGTGAATAATCATTTTGATATAGATAAATTTGCGGACGTAGACGATGACTTGTTTTTGAGAAACACGCGAGCGAGTGCCAACAACAGGGCACAGCGCAGTACGAATCCATTTGAAGATGATGACGAAGTATCCACATCTTCGTCAATAGGAGCACAAAGGCAGGCCTACGCGGAGAAACGCAGAGAAATTGAGCAGCGCACGCTAGAATCAACACAAAAAAGTTTGGGTATGTTCCATTAAAAATATTTGATTTTAGTGGGCGTTACCAATCCGAGAATGTATCAAACAGGCTTGCTCTACGAAGCCGAAGATGCGGGCAAAGCAACAGCAGTGGAGTTGGCCAGGCAACGGGAACAACTGGAAAAGACCTCAAATCAATTGGATGAAATTAACTCCACCCTGCGATTCAGCCAGCGTCATTTAAATGGATTGAAAAGTGTTTTTGGCGGCCTAAAAAACTACTTGTCTGGCAATCGTGATGTTCCCACGGCTGCTGCCTCACCCGCCGGCAGTCAAATGTCACAGGAGACCAACTACAATGCCAATGCGACGGGAGGTGGCGCAATACCAAAGCAGCCCATGTCACCAACGGAACGCTATGATAATCATCCGATTAGTCGTATGCGCGACGATACCAGTTCCTACAATCAGCGCCAGGTCCAGGCCCAACAACGGGCCGCCAATCCCTTTCAGCACCAGTTGGAATCGAATCTCGATGAAATGTGTGACAATTTGTCACGCCTTAAGTTCTTGGCAACCGATTTGGGAACGGAAATTGAGTCACAGAACGGATTGTTGGACAACATGAACTATAAGATCGAAAGCGTAGACTTAAATTTGACCAAGCAGAATAAGGAAATGAATAAGCTGATGAAGAAGTGAACATAAAGTCATGGGGTTCGTTTTTTGACCGTAAATTGTTTAAATTATAATTACACTTTCAATAAGCCCATATAAACTAATATATATTAATCATATCTTCTTATGAAAAGCACGAAAGAAATCTGTGTTTTCCCGCCATCATAAAGCATTCCTTGCTTTCTTTATTTTGTTTTTGTTATTTTGTATTATGTGCATGAAATGCTACTTTGTATGAAATGCTACTTGCGAGTTATAAGTGTTCATTTTCAAAGAAATGTTTAAATAAAAATTAGTTTTAGTGAGTATTTTTAATAAACTATGTTGTCAACTTATGAACGCAGTTCCTGCTTAATTTTGCTCAGACTTAACCTATGTGCTGCATACACGGCTTTAAGTACGCAGTTTTACAACACTGAGATAATTCGATAACGGATCGCCAACATACGTTATCGAAAGGCATCTTAAAACGTTAGCCGGAACTTTCGTAGCTCCTTATTGCAAGAAAATTTGCACTCGTTGCGTCTATCTTAATAAAAGTTAATAATTACCTAATTTCAAAGTTTAATATTGAAATGGAGGATCGTTATAATACAAGTGCTCAATTGCTTAAGGAACCATTATCATTTGCGTAAGTTGAGAAAACAAATTGCACGTGCATATGGGTGTATGTATGAATCCTTGGAAACCGTTTTATTTTTTAGTGACCTCATCGAGAATGGGGCCCACTTTGAGGTAGATACAGCAAATTATAATAATACCTGCTATGAGGATTTTAATGTGGATGATGAAGAGGATGTTGATGAGGAGGAAGTTGAACACGAGGCGCTTGTCTCACCCTGGACACGTTCCTTTGATGAGTTGCGCCAGCTAATGAAACCAATTGGTGAACACATCTACAAGCGCATCACACGACCAGGCGTCAAGGAGCAGGGCCTGGTGCCGGACAAGGCGCGTGTGGCATTGCGTTACAGCGGCTACTGGGAGGGACAGACCGCTCCATTCGATTCCTCGATGCTGCGAGGCACTAAATTCGAGTTCGAGACGGGTCAGCAGATGGTGCTGGAGGGTCTCGAGGCGGCCGTACGCACCATGTACCCCTACGAGCAGTCGGAGTTTATCATATCATACAAATTGCTATTCCACGAGATGGGCTGTCCGCCGCGCATTAAACCGCGTGCCGATGGTCTGTTTAAGATTGAGGTAATTGGATTCACATTGATTGGCGATGAGCATTCGCTGGAGCGAATCGCGCCCGAGGATCGTAACAAGTTTGCAGTGGTCTTTCCCAAGGCGCAGGATATGCATTTGCATGGCAAAGATTGTGTGAAGCGTGGCGCCTATCGCAACGCAGTTGCGGCCTTCGAGCGCGCGATTGCATCGCTCAACTATTGCCGGCTGGCGGATGAAAAGGATGAGCTCAAGCAGCAGGAGTTGCTTATTACGCTATACACCAATCTCATGGTGTGCAACAACAAGCTGAACAAGCCGGCGAGCGTGTGCATTGCCATGAAGGCTCTGCGTCTGCTGACGCGTAATCAGCCCTCCTGCAAGGCACTCTTCCAGGAGGGACGCGCACTGGCCGCCCTCGGCGAATACGAGCGCGCACGCCAGGCTTTCGTGCAGGCACAGGCCAAGCAGCCCAACAACAAGGAGATCAGCGAAGAAATCATCAATATGGAGCAGCGTGTCAGCAAATACAAAAAGTCAATGCGTGAGATTTGGTCACGTGCGCTCGCTGGCAAACAGCAGCCGGAGAAGCTAGCCGACTTGAAAACTGAGGAGAACCAAGCGAACCAGCAATTTCGGAGAGATTTCGAATTACAATTGACAGAGTTTGATAAGTCATCCTTGCAATCGATCAATATGAACCGCAAAATGTACACGGACAAGGAGTTCAATGTGCTGCGCCTGCTGGCCTCACAGCACAACATGAAATTGAGTCTGTCCCCGTTGGATGTGGATCAGCTAACACTGTCTAAGCTGCACATTAAGTAGACGCAACAGATGTCATAATATTATTTAAGAAATGGGAGACTCAGGTATTTCTTTGAACCCATTCAAGCCTCAATTATCTAAAGAATGTGCCATTAACTTTGCTCAAAGAATTTATTAGTATAGCGTGCACTCGAAAATTAGAATTGGCGACCTTCAAGCCTTCTTCTTAAATTTGAGACCTCATTTTGTTTTCATTATTTACCATTCATATCTTTTTCGAAAACTGAAACGGATGCCTTATTATCAAGCCTAATATAGTTTATCTTTAACCAAAGACTTAAATACATTCGATAGAGCGACGACGGGAAATACTTTTTAAGTTTTATGATTTTGTTAAATACAGCTTAATCTAATCTGCCTTGTGCCCCAAAAATTATTCGAATCTATAATATTATCTATAGACATGCCCATGCTTGAAACTCGAATATAAAGTTAGCTTTTTGTTTCTTAGTCAAATTTATTTTATTGTTCGCGTTTTAGCTGCAGCTCCTTGGCAACCTGCCGCTGCAGGCAGCCGAGGCAAACGCAGCCCTTGACATGCGGCAGCGGATGATCCAGAACATGCACTTCCTGTAGCTCAAAGGAGTTGGAGTTGTAAGCCGTCATGCTATCCGCCTGCTGGCACTTGCAATATAAACAACAGCAAATGATGCAGCCTGCAAAGAGCGTAGCTATCAATTATATGAATTGCTCGGGTCCTCTACCCTGCACCTACTTATGCATGCTACCCACAGCGCCAGCAACAGATACGGGTAGATAAATGTGGGCACAATGGGCGTCGTCTCCAAATCTTCTTTGCTATTATCCGGGTCCACTGTGTGTCTGCTGCTGCTGCTGCCGTTGCCTGCATAGATATCCAGAATCGAATCGACTAGCGTTTGCGAATAGTGTCCCAAATCTGCAATGTCTGAACGCACAGGATTCGCGCCTTGGCTTAGTACGAGCGCCAAAATAATCCGCATAGTTAATTGAATGTACATTTCTAATGTAAATGAAACAACTGTCGCCGTACGAATGCGGTTGAGTTGACAACCTACCGCCAAAAGTAGCTTTAAAGCAGTGCTGGCAAAGATATATATGTGAGTATGTGTGTGCTTGCAGGTGTATTAGTGCAGGTTTGTCTTAAAAGCTTAACGCTCTGTTCTGCGCTTGCAAAGCGACAGCGTCTGTGAGCTGTGTGCGTGAGCGCCTGCCTGCAATTACAACAGGCTTGGTTGATAAGCAAACAGTTGTGCGTTTGCGATTCTGTAGCTGTGAGTAATTTGAGGAGAAAATATGTTTTTGTTACTGCAATATTCGGGCAGAGGCTTTTGAATTTATTGGTTAATCGTGAACAAGAACAATGTATTGTAGCTTGTCGGCTTCTCAATCGTCTTGCGGATGGCGTAAATATGTGTCTTTTGCATTTTGCACGACCAAAATGGTTATTTTAGCATCGGGTGTTATGATTACCTCGTGCATTCTGGTGCGTACACGCAACATGCATAGATTTTGTGGCGGCTCCATTCTTTGTAGAAATGCCTGAGTCTTTTCACGTAAATTGTCATAGAGACAGGCATGCTGCAGTGCATCCTGGCGTGCCATTGAAGTCTTGACGGGCACACCTGAACGATTCATTATGAGCACCTCCTCAACGCCAGGTTTCTCAAGCACTAAGCGATAGACTTCATCCACATAGCGCTGGGTGCGCTTTGGCTAGACAAAAAGCGTTTTTAAAAAGAGAAAATTAATATATATATGAGGAAATACCTCAACTTCCCCAGCTTGCATTTTGCTAAAACTATTCGTGTGGCTTCTGCTCTACAAATGTTTTATTTTAAAGGCTTAAAAGCATAAACTGCTATGTTTATAAAGATTTTATTACAGTGAAATACATAAAATGCAATTAAGTATTCTTATTAATATTTAGTCGACACAGACGGCATCCACGGAGGTCGTACACCATTTGTAATCATTTACTAAATTGTCAGCGAACATTGTCAGAAACATTATCAGTGGAAAGGCCAGGTACAGTTGGGAGAGTAATATGAAAGCCATTTTGCAGCACGTTTAGTATTAAGTCGATTTTAATTGTAACAAATGTTTTATACAAGCCATAATTCGTTACACAGCCAAACATTCACGCTTTTTGAGCATATTAATTTTTTTAACATGCATTTAAATTTGTAACGCTCCCTGCAAGCAGTTTAGAATAAGCGTTTAATTCAGTGTCTGTGGAAGCAGTTAAATTAAGCATAGTAGAATATACGGTCTCTTCTAGATAAGCAGTGTATTTTGAAAGCATTTCAAACAAAGCAGTGTGTTATACACGCTCTCTTAATATTGCTCTCAATTGCTGCTCTCTTGATGACTAAGCACCTTTCAACAAAACTAAATTTAGACTACTCGTTGTACGATGCGCTCGTGGCGTCGCTCGCTGACGTTCCGTTTATTAAATTCTCGGGCTGCGTTCGTGTGTTCAAATCCCATCGCGGTTGACATTTCATGTGTATGAAAATATTTTCGATTTTATAGCGAGCCGCTCTCTTTGGCCGGATTAATTTAATTATAATTAATGCCGATTATGCAAGAGTAGGCAGATTAAATTTGGTGGGAATTACGCCTTCGGTGCCCATAACGGTTTTCAAATCCGTGGGATAAACGATCATCCTTGTTTCCCTCCACAATTTAAATTTTTTTAAACCAACTAATTTCCCTTTTTATAATGTTGAACAGCTTGCTTAATTTTGTTTTTGATATTTTCAAAAATGTTTTTTTTTGTTGTTAAAACCCATATATATTTATTCATAAATTATCTAATAATACAATAATTTTTCTCTTATGTTATTGTAACATAGCTTTAGTTTATTTGGTTTTGTTGGCCTCTTTGGAATATAATCATTTTGTCAACTTTACATTCACATGCATATTACGTGCATAATAGGCAATTACACAAGAACAGTAAAGAATTATTAAGGGCTGCTTTTCCCCAATGTTCGCTTCAAATTTATAACAATAATTTCTTGAGTTTGAAGCTCATGTTTTAGAAGATTTATTATGAAATATATAAATCTTAAGCGAACAATGAGAATAGCTCCTAAGTATTGTTTATAGTACATACAAAATAATTGTATAGTGTTGTTTTTTTTGCAACATTTAAAGTTGTGAACATTTTTTGTTATAAAGTTAGTTTTGTCAACAGTTTTATTTTGTATTTTATTTTTGCCCCATTCCTATGACTGCAGTTTATAATTTCTTTATTTGACCAAAGAAATGTCAATCAATAAAGTTGAAAAGAAAAAAAGATATTGAAATATTAGCAACATTTTCAGCTTAGGTATAGGGCATTAACTAGTCGACTAACTCCGACCTGCACATAAAATAACTTAATATAATTCCATATAAGTTGAACTTATTTTATAATTAATACATCAATTCTATTCTGCGGCATATATATCAGATATTATTATATATTTATGCTATTTTTTAATACATTCAATTGCCTTTCTTTTTTATATAGTTGCATTTCAATGAGTTTTTACTGTACATCGAGCATAGTATTAGAAAGGTGGGTGGAGTTTTTCAAGATTACAGTTTCCATCGTATAACTATTTTTACTTGCTTAATGTAGCGATATGAATTTTGCAATATTTCTCTCATTTGACTTTATACCTTTCGTGCTCTCTCGCAGCTCAAAGTTTCGTATAAAATTTTGAAGCTCCTGTGTTTTCGTCTTCTTTGTTTGCGGCATGGGTAGATTTTGCTTTTTATAATTTTTTTAAAGTAAACATTCTTAGAGGCTAGGTTCAATCCTAAATATTGAGCATATGCATAACACTGATTCTTGTCGGAATTGACAGCTTTGATAGATATACTTTAGTTAAGGGTAACTAAATTTTTGATTTTAGCAAATTGCTTTTGATTTGCTTATCTGAAAAATATTTAGCTCGTTTTCTATATATACACCAAATTATATATGTTTATATATTTATTTTTTTATTTGTTTTTTTTTCAATTGCATTTTGATCATATACAACATATTTTCAGTTTTCTTAACAGCCATTTAACATTTCCATATTTAGATTATTGTTGATAATTTTTTTTTATTTTTTTTTGTATATTTTCAGTTTTACAGGTACACATACATCCACATCAACTAACGGCATGCAACAATTGGTTAATCATTTAACAGTTAATATAAGTTTTTTTTTTCATATGCCATTTATAACTTCTAGGTACAGTTAGTACATTGATTCGTAATATTATGTCACAGCTACTGCGCTAAAAACAACGACAACTGAATAACAACAATTGATTAAAATTCCTGTTTTGTTAATTTTCATACATGCTCATATATCATATATATATATTTATATATTTTAATTTATCCCTATATGTGGACAATGTGGACAATAACATTCATTTCAAAAAATTTCACATAATTTAAAAAATCTTCAAATGTCTTTAAATCAGTTATCACAAAGTATGGGGTTTTATTTTTGTAAAATAATTTTTGGTTTCTATTTTATTCCTTTTGCTAACTTAGTACAAATTGAAAGAAAGTGTTTTTCTAACGCAAATAGTTAAAATATTTTTGATTGAGCATTTTTGACAGAATGTGTTTAATACTTTGTTATTCGATTTACATTTATTCTACCACTAGCTACATGTAGAAACACATACAAATATTTGTTTATATATAATATTTTTTCGTATATTTTAATACAATCTTTACTCTTTGTTTTAGGCAACACACAGCTTATATGATCTTGTTTACTTTAAATAACATGTATATATATTATAAATAGTATATTTTAACAACAATACATATATACGTATAAATTATATATTTTTTTTGTATTATTTTCCTTTAAGTTAATTATTGTTATGTGTTTTTTATGTGAGCTTAGGTTAGTTAGTGTATTAGTTTTAGTTCAACTAAGTATTGCACATACACACAAACACACACATAAAACATGTCTAAATATTTGCTTAAAATTAGATATTTTTCTCTGCCGTAAGATCCATTAGTTATATGCATCTTGAATAATCCACTCGTATCTTAATTTCATTTAGGTACATGAGTCTCTCTTTTTTTTAGGCCTATCAAAATAGAGTTTTACACATACACATTTGACATTGAACAGTTTCATCTACACATATAATAATATTAACTAATTATATTTTCTCCTAAACATGCATAAAAAACTAAACGAAACGAAATAAAACTTTGTGTAAAGTCTAAAATCCAACATTTGCCTTGCCGTTTGCCCTTTGCCCAAATTGCAAAATTTATAAAATGCATAAAAATTTTTCAAAATATTCTTTAAACAACATTTGCAATAAAAATAAACATTATTTGTTGTTGTATATGTGTAGTATTTATGTTGTATATAGGGTATATTGTATATAAATTTTTGGTTTTTTTCATTCTTTCTAAACAACTTCAATATTTCTTTTGCCATTTTGCATTGCTCTCAAATTCGAACGTTTCGAACGTTTCTAATCATAATCAATAGGTACCATATAGTTACATATATAATCGGGGCATATTAGTTATATGTATATATAATAGTAATAATAATATAGACACTTTTTCCTATCCACAACAATCGAAACGTGCCCTTTTGGTGAATTACTAAAAACTACGTTAACTTTTTGGTAATTGCAATGAGTCTTTCAACATAATACTAAGATGAACATAGAGCATATACTAAAGAACTTAGTTAAGAAGGAACTATTGAAACATAGTTTGTGTGTGTAGGTACACGATCGGGGAATAGTGCATATATATGTATATAGATATATATGTATATGTAGTTAGTGTGTATTGCTAGGAAATATGTTTGTCGTAATACCCTTGCAGTGTTTAATTCTATTAGGCTTGTATCTTTGACATCAACAAAATCTAGCTACATTATGCTTTAAAATCTCTTGTCAAAGTTGTTACAGCTCGAATCAAAAGACGGTTGAATCATTACCTCTGCAAGAGTATTAAATATTCGGCAGTCCGAACATAGCAGTTTTGACTTGTTCCTTTCAAGTTTGCTTACAGGATTTTTATTTCTTTTTGGCAAATGTTCAGAGTTCATGGGGAACTGTTAAAATTCTCGAAAATGTTGCAATTTGCTTTGCTCAAATCTGTTGCTGTTCGCTTTCCAAGTAAAAGTAATCCAAATAAATATTTATAAAATCTGCATCTATATAAACATCTAGGTATATAACATTTACTTATATATAAGTATATAGTACTTGTTAGGCTTAACAGCGTGTTTTTTTGCTTAGCTCGAGTTCTTTAACATTAAATATATATGCTTAGAAAAATAGTGTTCGATATTGGAAATACCTTTTATATCGGCTTTTGAGACTTGCCTTCATTTTACTTCTTTGCTGTTGCAGCTGCTTTCGTTTTGCTTGATGTTGCTGCCGCTTTGCTTGTTGTTGCTGTAGTTGATGTTGTAGTTGTTATCATCGGTTTGTTTGCTGTCTTTGTGGGGCTAGTTGTTGCTGTCGGCTTGCCTGTTGCTGCTTTGGTTATCTTTGGCGACATGTTGCTGTTGCTGTTTGTTGTTGTTGTTGGTTTGTTAGCTTGTGCCTTGAAAGATGCCGGTGTTGCAGAGAATGTTGTGGGCCTTTTTGTCGGTGATGTTGCTGTGGGCTTTGCTGTGCCTGTTGGTGTTGTTGCAGGCTTTGATGTTGCTGTGGATGAGAATGTTGTTGCCTTTTTTGTCGGTGACGTTGCTGTGGGCTTAGAAGTGGCTGTTGTTGTTGTTGCAGCCTTTGATGTTGCTGAGAATGTTGTTGCCTTTTTTGTCGGTGATGTTGCTGTGGGCTTTGATGCGGCTGTTGGTGTTGCTGGCTTTGATGTTGCTGGTGTGCTTGCTGTGGTCTTTATTGGTGTTGTTGCTTGTGTTGCTGCTGCTCCTGGGGCTGCCTTTGTTGTGTTGCTGGCGGCTACTGTGATCACAGCATGAGCAGAAATTACTGATGTCTTCTGAGTTGGTGTGGTTGCCTTAGCAACAATTGCTGCTGCAGCTGCTGACTTTGTAGTCGCATCTTGTTGAGTTGCATCTGGTATATTGCTGCTGACAACTGCAGTGGTTGAGTTGGTAACAATTGTGGTTGCAGGTGCAACAACCTTTGTAATTGCAGCTGTGTTGCTGGCAATAATCGTGGTAGCTGCGTTGACTACATTTGGCTTTGCTGCAGCACTTGCAGTTGCTGCTGCTGTCTTTGGCATATTACTTGCTACAGTTGCAGTTGTTGCTGTTGCTGCTGCATTGGGCCTATTGCTTGCAACAGTTCCTGTTGTTGTTGCTGGCTTAGACATATTGCCTGCCACAGTTGATGTTGTTGTTGCTATTGTTACTGTTGTCTTCGGCATATTGCTTGCAATAGTTGCAGTTGTTGCTGCTGGCTTTGGCATATTGCTTGCTACAGCTCCTATTGTTGTTGCTGGCTTTGACATATTGCCTGCAACAGTTGCAGTTGTTGTTGCTATTGTTGCTGCTGTCTTCGGCCAATTACCTGCAACAGTTGCAGTTGTTGTTGCTGGCTTTGGCATATTACCTGCAACAGTTGCAGTTGTCACTGCTGTTATTGCTGCTGTCTTCGGCATATTGCTTGCAACAGTTGCTTCTGATTTTGCTGTTGTTGCTTCTGGCTTTGTTGCATTGCTGACCACATTTGTTGCCACAACGGTTACTGCTGTCATTGCTTGAGGTTTTGTAGCAACACTGACGTTTGTTGCTGTTCCGCCAGCAGTTGTTGTAGCTGAATTGGCAGCAACACTTGCAACTGGCTTTGAGATTGTTGTAATAATTTTTAATGACCTCATTGGCGACTTGTTGGTGGCTGTTATTGATGTTGCTGCAGTGAGTGCAGCAACTGTTGTTGCTGTCTTCGCTGTTTTATTGGCGACACCTATGTTTGGCTGTGCTTTTGTCGACACGCTCATTGTGGAAACTATTTGGGATTTTGGATTTGCTGCAGCTATTACTGTTGCACCGACTTTGCCATTGATTGCTGTTGTGCTGACAGCACTCATATGCACATCTGTTGCAGCCGTTTTGCTGGTATTGGCTTGAGCAGCAGCTGTTATTATTGGCATTGTGGCTGGCATAAAAGTCGTTAGAGCTGTGTCTGGCTTCGGGCCAGCTGGCACCGCAGCAATATTGCTGCTAGTTGTTGCTATTATCGCCTGTGTGCCGGCAACGGCTGCAGCTGTCGTCTTGGGCATGGCCAGCTCTGCAGCAACTCCACCGCCAGCGCCCTCCGTGCCAACATTTGGTGCTGCTGCTGTTGCCGCGAATGTGGACATAGTGTTGCACTCACGTCCGCTGCTCATGGTGCCCGTGGACAAGACCTTGGTGGTGGCTGCGACTGTTGCTGTTGCTGGCGTGCTCGCATGTTGCTGGCTCTGATTATCCGCTTTGATGGTCGGTTGCTGGCTGCCACTCGACTCTGGTTTGGGCTTGTGGCGCCCGTTTTCCGGTTGAGCCTGCTGCTGATTGCTGTTGCCGCTGAGCTTGGCCGATGTTTTCAATATGCTCGGTCCTGGCAGCTTACCCACCGTCATGGGCAGCACATCCACGTCAACGCTGGCCATCGCCGACGAGGATGCGTTCACTCGCTCTCAGAGTTGCATTGCCTCATCCCGATAGCCGTTGTTGCCGTTGCCGTTGCCATTGCCATTGTCGTTGTCATTGCTGTCAGCCGCATTGCCATTGACCGCATCCTCGTAGGGCATCACATCCGTGGGTGCCCCGCTAATCAGTATTTGGGTGTTGGTCACACCATCGTAATTTTGGCTCTGATAGCGTTCGGCATGCAAATTGACGCAGGGTCTGCCAGCGGGTCCCCATTCGGGGGTGGGGCGCATCAGAACCTTGATGCGGTCCCTGAAGCTCAGATGCTTTGGCGCCTTGAAAATCTGTTGCACGCCTATCACCAATATGACAAACACCGGAAACAGACCGACGATCCAGCCCACAGTATCAGCCCACAAGGGATATATGTAATGGCCATACTGTGCGGGCTTGTACTCTACCCAGTTGAAGAACAAAATGAACTGCAAGTGGAAAGTGGATTTAGTGCATGGAGGTTAGCTGGGCTGGCTAAGATATTTGACCATGGAGGACAGTGAAATATTCAGAGAGCACAGAAATAACATTTTATTGCATAAATCTTTTCGAGCTAAATTTCAAAGAGACCTAAGTTTCGTTTAAAGGCACTTTAAATGACCATGGAGGATAAATGAAAAATATTAAAAGAATAAGAAGCAGCACACAACTTACCAATAGCGTTGCGGGTGTTATATAGCGCCACATAAAGCCCCAGAAGAAATTCCATAGACGCGAACGCTTGCCAATCATGCCCTGTATATCATTTAAAAAACGCTGTGATCCATAAATCCAGGCAATCAGCACACACTCCGATATAGCAATGAGCAGGACCGACCAATTGGCAGCATATTTATCCATCAGCTGCAGCCAGTACATGCCGCTCTAAATTGAATTAGGCTTAAGTACATTAATATAGATAAATATCTAGGATATACTCACATTGGTGGTAAAGCCAAGGCCGCCTACATAGCCAAATATGCCCACAAAGAGTACAACCCAAGTTTTGTATTGTCGCAGATTTGGAAACTTGTCCAAAATGGCAGTGGTAACGGTCTCCATCAGAGCAAACTGCGAGTCCAGGCCCAGGGTGAGCAGCATGACAAAGAACAGCACCGACCAAACCGGTGAGATGGGCAGACGTGTTACCACCTCCGGATAGACAATGAACGCCAAGCCGGCGCCCTGGTCCACAACCTTTTTCACCTCCACATCCAGTTCGTGCGCCAGAAAACCAATGATGGAAAATATGACCAGGCCCGCAAAGAACGACGTGGCTATGTTGCAAAAGGCCACAATGAGAGAGTCCCTGAAAGATGCGCAAATATGAATAGAAGATCATCAGAAGATAAACAGAAGATCAATATACAGTAGCTGATATAGACCGGATTTGGTCCGGACTAGTAGTTTTTCTTAAAAGCGTGAAACACGTCTTTTGTTTATTTTATAAAAGATTCTTCATATAAAAACCCAAAAAAGTGTAATTTTAATGTTTTCACCCTTGTCAGTGAAATTGTTTGCGTAACTTCCAAACGTGCGTTAGAAAATCTAAACTAAACGGGAAAATTATGAGAAACTTAACAAGATGAGCTCCGTTTGTTGATCAGGAATAAAAAATAAATAAGGACTTATATATATATATCAATTTCGAGGCAGTTTTATGATATATATGATATTTACTTGTAGCAGTTATTGGAGAACTTGTTGTATGAGGACAAGGTGATGAGGCCTCCCCAGGCGGGGCTTAGCGCAAAGAAGATCTGCACAGCGGCATCGCCCCAGACCTGCAATATAAGAAATAGTTAAATCAACTGAAAATGGATAAGTTTTGTGAAGATGACTCACTTGAGCATTGGCTAGTTGCTTCCAATCGGGCGTTAGATAAAACAAAATGCCCGTGCTGGCGCCCGGCAGGGTAACGCCCCGAAAGAAGAGTATGACTAAGACCAAATAGGGAAACAAGGCGGTAAAGTAGACGACCTTGCCGGAGGACTGAACGCCCTTGCACAGGCAGAGAAAGACAATGACCCAGGCCATGAGCAGGCAGGCGGCCAATGAAAATTTAATGCTGCCCGTTTCCTCAATGCCCGACGACAGGCCCAGCACATAGTTGCTGTAAATGGAAAGAGAGGCGATTAGGGATTTGGAATCAATCAACATTTGTACACCATATTTAATCCACTCACTTAAAGTACTCCTCGGCCGGTGGACGCTTGAGGGCGTGCAGCGCCAGTTCCGTTATGTTGTGATAGTCCGCATAGGTCGCATTGTAGCAGGTGCGCAGATAGTAGGTGCCATTGATGGCCTCACACTGATCCGCCATCACGTAGGAGAAGCAATCTGCAAGTGTCATCAACTAGTTAGCAAGTTGTGCAAAGCAAGTTGGAAGTGCCCACCTAGAAGCTATCCTGGACCCAACACCGAGCTGCCCTTATAAGCATGCTACAAACATTGGTTCTTCTATGCACATACACACACACACACACACACACGCAAGCACACATGCGCACTTTATGCTGTGCTTCTTCTTAATCCAACTCTAAGGTGGATGTTCTTGCATAACTTCGGCATTTATTGTCCGATCTTTATGACAGTTTCAGGGCATTAATATGGCAGCCAGATGTGTGTAAATACCAAAGCCGAAGTTCGCGCCAAATTTTGAGCTGGTATCCAAGAAGTGAATAATTCTGTATATGCGTTTACTATACGAGATCCTAATTACTAAATGTGCTATCTCTAGCCTCCAAACTACGTGAAAAATGAGTATATCTAAAAGTAAGAATATTCTCTGAAATACACGAGTTCAGAAATGTGGAAGATCGACTACGACCTTGTTGCTGAGCAGAAATATACTCAATGGATTGGGTTCTTCTGCCTGTTACTTATATTTTTACAAACCCAATATACCCTTTTTAACCACATTTAATGAGCTTAGAGTAGGAAAAAGGACACTAGTCCAACAATTCAAGCCGACAGTTACTCAATTATGCATAAAGGGGCAGCAATTTTTTTAATATTTATGAACTATTTGTCAGACCAGAGAGAGTAAGAATGAGAGAGATATAAAGAGGGAGAGAGAAAGAGAGAGGTAGAGAGGGATGGAAAGAAAGACAAGGAAATGGCAGCGCTGAAAAAGGACTCAAATGTGTGCGAAAGGACAACAAAGCACGAGCCGGGCAACTTTTGTGCGGATTCATAATTAAAAGGACAAAGTAGCAAATCAGTGGAAAACATGAAAAGGGTTGGGCGACAACTGTTGTTGTTGTTGTTGTTGCCGTTGCTGCTGCTGCTGTTGGCAGCGAGCAAACAGAAAACGGAATGTGGCAAGCAGTTGGGGTATGCGACCTAAAGATACCCTGTATGGAAGCAATATAGAAGTTCTACGATTCGAAAGGGTCTTATTTTTTAATTGCTTTTAAATGTATATCAAGTCGGTATGTGCGCCCAAATTCTTAGAATTAAGCTATACGACTTTAAAATACCCTGCATAAAACTCTATTTACATATATAGAGAAGTCTCAGAAAGAAGCATTTCTGAAGCTTTGCTGCTTATGCAGCCATTTTTAAATGTTTTTAAATCTAGACAAAAAAGTGTGTGTCTAAAGGCAGTAAAGATATTAGACTTTGATATACCCTGTAAAAGAAGACGTTGAACTAACTTCAACTTGAACTATCTAAAACTGCGCAAAATAATAATTTAATTGTGCTAGAACTATTTAAACCTGCGCAAATTATTCATCTATTTGTATTAGACAGCGTAGTTGAGTTTTCTAAATACTGGGTATTTAAAAGGGTTAAATTGTCTAAAGGGCTGTCAGCCCCTTTGACAGCGGGAGCAACGGGTTCCGTTTGTTGACCCAAGCCTGATTAAATTTGAAGAGCGTGCTTTATGGAGCTGAGGCCAAAGCAAATCGATGTTGGATATCGACAAAGAGGTTAAAGGTCAATAGAAACGCTGACACAGTTGATTAGAGGCAAGGCCATGGCATTCTATACAAAATTCTAACTCTAATTTGTTTTTATTTCATATATATATGAATCAGAATTTGAATATATGAGACTTAAATTAAAACTCAGATGAGCTTATATGTCAAATCGCAGCTGCATAACTCAAGGATTTGTCCAAGTTTATGAACCATTTTAATCAGCTTATGAGCTTGTGGACCAGGTCATTTCAGGCGAAGTTTAGGTGCATAATTTGTTAATGAATCGCTGTTTACGAGCTGTCCACTCAGCCGTTAGCGCGAATTTGGTAGGAGACCGCGCTTTAAATGGCTTTCGGCACACCTGACTCTACCAATTAGTGGGCGCCTTTTCCTGCTGGCGGTACACCTAATCTAGCTGCCACAACGCGTGTGCAAAGCCAGCAAATGTTTATGACATTTGACTTGTGTGACTCTCGACGGCTGCCACACGGGGCGTATGAGTTCTGGCCACCCAAAAAAAGAGTCTAAGCTGATGCTTATGAGCGGCTTGCATGTGCGCTGCCCTCTCTCTGTGTGTGTGCGCATGTAAATGCCAAAGTTTTTTGAGTCCTTCAGCTGACTAACGAGGCTTGTGGTTGACCGCTAAAATGACCAACTGGATGTTGACTGTTTTTGGCTGCTTTGGTTGCTTTGGTTGCCAGGTTTAGAGCTCGCAATTGGACATTCTCTGTTTGCTATTCAAATGAAAAGTGGCAGCAAATGCTGAGTCAAGTTGCATGCCACTTGCCCAACGGTCCATTGGCTAATGGACTGTGCGCGCCGAGCACTGTGATGAATTTTCCTGTTTGCCACTTTGTGAGGTCTACCAAAACAAAAAACAAAAAACCAAAAAAAAAACGGATTTAAATTTTTTGACCTTGCAATATTGTGAACATTGTGTGGCATTTGATTTTAATAAACATTTCGCTTTTCTCCCCAACTCGCATTCGAGTTTGAATGCACCTGTCAATTTGGCATGCAATTAATTTTCAAATTTGCCATGCAGCTCACGTAGCTGCCAATAAAGAGAGCTACAGTCTCAATTTAAGACAGCCACATTTACGTTTGCCACTGTCTGAAACTAGTCGGAATAGAATTAAGTACATATGTGGGAAGAAAGGGGGCAAATGGGGCGGCAAGTTGATTACGTTCAGCAGTGTATTAAAAATTGTGATTACGGTTGAAATTAAGGTATTCGCAATTGATTGGTAGCAAATTGTTGCCCTTTTCAAAAGTCAGATTAAAAACCTTTTTCAAGCCATGTTAGATGTTTTGCAACTCTTATGAAAAACATTTTCAAAGAGCTTATTATTATATATTCAAGGCAGAATCAATCATCTTTTTTTAAGAGATAATTTTGTATGAATCTGGGCAACAAAAGTCTTAGCCAACTCTCATCGATATCTAAAGCTATCGGGTATTTGCCAGTCTTGCCAAAAAATAGTTTTTTAAGTTTTGCTTTTTTCTTACTATTTACTTATAAATCTGAATTTAATTAGACGGACAAATCTGGGTAATTCTTTACAAACCAAGAAACATATCTAAGTAATGTAAGGATCCTTATAAATACTTAAGCGACAGATTTCATCGATATATGTATTGATATAGAAACAAGCGATATATCGAATAATGAACAAGCGAGTTGTATCGATGATGGAATCGAAAAGAGAAAGGAGAGACTCGAAACCATGTGATTCTTTCACGTATCGCTATGTTTGTTGTTCGAATATAGTATTATTAGTTGAGAGATATTTGTCAGACTCATCTATTGACGCCCATATAACGTAGCTTTCCTTCTGCACCTTTGTTAATTCCTTTCATTTTAAGAATAAACAGGAGTGTAGAGAAGAACCCCGACAATCCGACAAGCTAGTTAAAGCATAGCTAGAGCTGCCGCCTTCGAAATGCTCATATTCAAAGAGAATGTTTCATATACATATATATGGGTCATCTGAATACTGCTGCTGTTCAGGAAACACACATTACATAATTGGCGAGCTTGAATATGGAACTTACTTTTGAAGGCTTGAACTGAGTGAATGGACTGTCAAGTATTGAAATAGAAAAAATAAGAAAAGACTGCGGACTTCACAGAAAATTACGGTAATATCTAATAATTTAAAACAGTTTAACAAATGTTTCCAGCTTTTCAAGCTTGCCTGAGTATTCGATATCTTTAAAGAACCTCAAAATGCTATGGTAGTTTTTATCTTTTTGATTTACGTGACATTGTATTTGTTTATTTACCTTTGTGCTCTGTGCATACACATTTATGTAATGTCTTTAGATGTTTCCTTCAATATGTAGCCCATCAATTTCGTCTATGTCAAATAGATGGCTAAGAATCTCTTTCAAAACTCGTACACTCAGAAATCGAATATTTCAATTTGTGTGAATGAGGAAAGGGCAATTTTAGCTTAAATATGATGTGTTTTTCATGTATATATGGCTGCAAAACTCCATTCAAATTAATCAAAGAGCCCGACAAGCGCCAACCCATCTCAATCAGCGTTTATTCAATTGCCCCGCGTTACTCATACGCCGCATAGGTCGCCGGGGTCCCATCTGGGGTGCTCGGCTACGACTACACTAAAGCCAAGGTTATATACATATAAATATGGCCCTCTATAAATGTGGGTTGTGTTGCTTTTTACAGCATATTCATCATCTAATCAATCAGCAACAAAATGAAAATCAAATCAAAATTGAACACATTTTCTTGTGGTTGTTGCGGGCGAGCTGGAGTTGAGTTTTTTTTTTGGGGCATGGGGCGGCTTCAAAGTGTTTACACGCCGTTTAATTTGCCTGTCTGCCTTTATTTGTTATGCAATTAATTTTAATACGAACATACACGCACACAAACAAACACACAACGCACACACACACACACACAAGGATAGATAGCCTGATACAACCCGTAGATACAAATCATATAAAACTTTATGTGAATGCGGCAGCAGGCAAAAACTGTCTGCCTTTCAATTTGGCCAACTCGAGCGTGTCTACCCAGCCAACTGTGCGTCTATGTGTTGCTTGTTCGTGTCGGCATCTTACATTTGATTACAAACACACACACAGTCACTCACACACACACACACACATAGAGAAACACTCACATACACCCAGATAAGATTGTTATACAAGCCGCTCCCAAGTCGACTGGCACAGGAAATTGCCATTAAATTTTGTGACCTTTAAGTTTTTGATGCCAGCCTTCAACTTTTTGTTCTAAAAACTTTTTTACTAACAGTTTTCGTTGATCCATCTGCCGTTGGCACATGTTTGAGTTCATAACATCAAATTTGATTAGCTAAGCAACCTTATTGACCCAATTAAAAAGTTATAAAAACAAATACGAGCCAAACACATGCTGGGAATTTAGTTAAATTTTATGTGATTGGACCATTTATGTGCTCAATTAAATTGAATTTGAAAGGATAATCGAAATAGTCTCTTAATTGATAAGCATTCTATCAAAAATCTATGCAGCATATACTTTTGCTCTTTTTTTTTTTTTATATACTCTCGCTTTTCTCTCTTCGGAGCATTTCTTGCTTCAAGCTTGTTGAAAAAGTAATTGAAGCAGGAAGTACAGTTAAGTTGAGTAAAACCGTTTGGCTAACTTTTTTTAAAACTGCTGAAGTATTCCTATAGACATATCTCTATTGCTTCGATTTACTCTTCAATATAATCTCTTTTATGTTGAGCTCCTCCCCAACTGGAAATGAATTTATTTATCGAGGCAGGGCTGCCAGTTTGTTGAAAAAGTAATTGAAGGTGCAGATACGGTTTAGTGCTAAAGCAACTTGGCTAACTCCTTGAGTTATTTCTATAAATTTGTCTTTAAACTTAAAAACCACTCAAAAACATCAACTGTCTTGTAGAGAGCGCAACTTCTCTTTCTGGCAACTAGTTCATTTACCGGTTCAGAAAAAGTAATTGAAGCAGCAAGTATACTAACTTTGAAGAAATCGCTTTAGCTTACTTTTTCTTTAACTTTTGATTCCTATAAATATGTATCTAATTTAAAGATTAATTCTATAATATAACCTTTATTTGTAACCTCCTTTCCATCTGGCAACCATTTTATTGACCGATATAGGGCTGCCAACTTGTTGAGAAAGTAATTAAAGGAGCAGGTACAGTTGAGCTTAATAACACCCTTAGGGTGTACAGCTTTTGGGTGTACTTCTATAGATTTATTCTTCAATATAATTCTATTTGCAATTTGCTTGAAACTGCCTTCCATCTGGCAACCAATTCAATCATCTAAGTTGCCAGTTCGTTAAACAAGTTTAAGAAAAATGCAAATACAGTTTATTATTGAACTAAACTGCCCTTTTTCAGCATTTTAGCTACATAGGTATATCTATAAATATTGCTCTAATCTTTGGATTTATTCCTATATATTATTTTTTTTTGCATTTTCAGCAATATTTGCACACAATAAGCATTAATTGTTTGACAATAAACTAACACTAAATAAAGAAAGCAATAAAAACGAACATAAATCAAACACAGCCTCACATGTAAGTTCTTTCTCAAACTTCTTAAAGAAAAAAAAAACAGAATTTGCCAGTAAAATATTGACCGAAAAAGTGTTTATGTTTGTGTTTGTGTTGAGGGTCACAAACAAACTAAGGCCGGCTGAGCTTAGAGTGCAAGATATTCAAGATATTCAATCAATGGACAAACAAGTTAAACACATTTTAATCATGAGGCTAAAAGTAAACATTTATCATCTAAAATTCGAGGAGACAAGGACGAGAACGAGACCGAGAACAAGAACCAGGACGAGGACATAGGCGAAGCCTAAGACGAAGACGAGGCCAAAGCCACAGACGAGACGAGGTGAAAGTGTCAATAAATGAAATCCTTAAGAAATTGCTTGTCTGTCACTGAGATTGCGAGTGTGTGTGTGTGTGTGTTTCATTGTGTGTATGTGTGTGTAGCTAAAGAGCTTATAAAAAGCCAGCGCACAGCAGAAAGTTACGAATCGGCATGCAGCCCGCCGCCGATTGAATGTCAAAAACTGTTTAGACATAATTGTTGTCATTTTAAGCATCAATTTTCCAGCTAGAAAGAAGAAAACGTTCTTCCGACCTGAATATACCTTGTATTTAGCTGAATTGCTACAGAATACAGTTATGTATACCTATAAATTTTTCCCATTTTCTCTTCTCTTAAGACTCGCTCTACAAACTAAATAATCAAAGGTACCCAAGGGTGTATATTCTGAAACTTCTCGATTACCACAGTATAAATATCGAAATTTACTGATTGTTGTCAGCAAGCGGAAGTTATCGAAAAAATAAAATAAGCTTGATTACCCCAGATATAAAAGATGCTCAATGCTGTTTGGTGACATTTATCGATTGTTGTTAAAAGGAAAAAGTTATCGTAAAAGTCAAATACGATTGATTACCTCAGGACGTATATCGAAATTTATGCGTCATTGTCAAAAGGCAGAAGCTATCGAGTAAATAAGATAGGCTTCATTACCTCAGGATGTACATTTGTCGAAATTACTTGGTTGTTGACAAAGGGTGTGATCGTCGAGAATATATACTCAGATAATGTATATCGACCCAGCTTCTCTTGATCAAGAATATATGCACTTTATGGCTCCAGAGATGTGTACCATTTTTGACACATTTAATGGGCGCAGGGTATAATAAAACGAGAACAACTCAGACATCGATGTGGGCGAGGCAAACAATGGAATCGCATCTATTGCGTATATCGATTTCTATTGCCGACCGACAAAACGGAAACGCGTCGACTGGCGTTTCGTATGTTTTTTTTGCGCTGCTGCTGCTTCTTCTTTAGACTGTGGCTTTGCATCAATGGCGGCCATATTAAATCATGTTGCCCCAAGCGGGAGCGATGGGTGGTAGGTGGTGGGTGGTCGTTGGTGTGCGGTGGGTGGTGGGCGGTGGGCGGTGGTTAGTGGCAGCTGCTGCTGTTGCCGAAGCTCATGCAAAAACTTTCAATGGCGTTGGGCTGTTGCCGTTGTTGTTGCTATGATTATTACTTGTACAGGCTACAACCAACGAGCGCCACTTGAGCGTGAGTGAGCGTGTGTGTGTGTGTGTGTGTGTGTGTGTGTGTGTGTGTGTGTGTGTGTGTGTGTGTGTGTGTGTGTGTATACATGTTTTAGTGCTACCAAGGCAGCCGCAATAAAATAAGCAAAGTATGCAGCAAGCGGCTCATAAAAAAGCTGCAAAAGAAGCTGTAAAATATGTTATACTCAAGCAACGACCTTTGTACGCTCTACCAAACTTGTAATTATACGAAAGGCGAATTTTTTATATGTATAACATATATGTATATTGCCTGCAGCTGTTGCAACTGCGGCCTTAAATATATTTTTATTTATATTTGATCAACTGCTTTATTGTGCTATATTTTGGCTATTTTTTAGCTTGTTTTGATAGTTATTAATTGAAAACCACAACAGTAGCTCATATACCAAATTTGAGCATAATAACGTCTGTACTTCTGAGATATTGCGCATTAGTTGTCAGAACTCACAAAGCAGTCCATACTTCTTTTAAAACTTGCCTGTTGCTCTACATTTTGCCACCTACATAGTTCAAACAAAAGCCTTGACTGCCTGGTCCGCTCGCAAAGACTCGTTAAAGATTTATGTCCTTAACGTGGCGGACGAAATTTTAAATTGTGTCCCATTTGTTTGTATTGCATACAGCTGTGTGTGTGTGTACGTGTGTGTCTGTGCAAAGAAATCAAATGCACGCTTAAGTTCGCACAATATGCGCTGCTGTCACAGCCGCAGCCGCAGCCGCATCTGCCCTGCCACGCCCATCTCGCGGACACACCTCTAGCAATTTCACATGAAAGCCAACGAGCCGCTGCACAAAAACAATTGCCTACTTCAAGGCGCTGCCGTGTTGTCAGGCAATGTGCTGGTTGCTGGCTGCCCCGTTATTGCCTTTGTTGTTGCTGCCTGTTTATTATTATTATTATCATTTTTGGCAAAAAGTTGTCTTTTATTGTCGACGTCAGCGTAAATTGCGCGCGAATAAAAACACAGCTAGCAAATTTGTCAAGACAGCGTTCACATTAGCGGTGGCACGTAAAATACATTTTTCAAGCTCAAGGTATCGATATCGATTTATGTACATTACGTATACAGATAACCAGACTGTAGTATCGATACTTATAAATACGAAAAGTCATTGTAAAAGAGTAACAACTATAATAATATAGTTCAAGTTGAATTGATTTGTAGAGAAACTAAGTATTTCAACATTCTGAGTTAGTTAGTCTAATGAAGAGTTATCATGAAAACTATATTAAGCTTAAGTTATCGATATGCCTTTAATATCGATACCTACTAATACGATAACACTTTATTAATGCTATCGTCAAAGCAATTGCGCTTAAAATTAGGTTAAAGTTACTAACTATCGGCGAGGGAATTACATTAATATTTTCCTAGCAAATTTAATAACTGAAACGAGCCTATAGAAAGGTTATGTCCTTCAGGAATTTCAGTTATGGTCAAGTAAAAGTTTGTGTCAGAAAAGAAAGTTTTACTTTTGACAGCTTGCAATTTGCTTAATTTATTTCCAAACAAAAAAAACTTGTTTGGACCAAATTTGTTCTTAGACTGTCTACTCACTTTCCGTGCTCCACTCCGGTTCGCAGTTCTGCCAGGGCAGCTGTGTGCGAAACGAGGCAAACATGTAGAATATGGTCCAGGCAATGATCAGATTGTAGTACAGCATGACAATGGCCGAAACGATGACCATGCCGGTGCCAAGGCCGCGAAAGAGCGGACAGAACCGTCGATAGATGGCCACCGGACCCAGTGCAGCATATTGGCCAAACGAGAGCTCCATGAACATTAGCGGCAGACCCGCTATGATGAGCATTATGGTGAAGGGTATTAGAAAGGCGCCTGCAAGTAAAAAGTTTAAGTTAGTTTAGCTTCGAAATTAATTCAAGCGATAACACCGAAACCTACCACCACCATTGTTGTAGCAGAGATACGGAAATCGCCAGACATTGCCCAGGCCCACCGAATAGCCCAGCAGCGAGAGCAGAAAATCAAAGCGTCCCGTCCAGTTGCCACGTTCCGGTTCGACTGTCTCAATGGTCACCGCGTCTAGTGCGTCCAGTGTGACCAGCGCCGTGCCCGAAGCACAGCCAGCAATGCTGATGGCTGTGGGCGTGGTGCTAAGCTGTGGCGCAGTCTCCTCCTTGCCTGATGCCGTTGCTGTCAATGTTAATGCCGCCGCATTACCCGGACAGACCACGGCGCCACCACCGCCTGCAGCAGCTGCTCCAGCTGTTCCAGTTGCTGTTGCCTTTTTGTTATTGTGCGGCAATTTGTGTACTTTGTGCTCCACATTGAATTCACAGATGGTGAAGCGATCCTCATTTTGCTGCAAGGAATGGGAAGGTTGGCCCAGTTAGTTAACCTAGCATGACAGTCACTTGACAAACGTCTGGCCAGCTGCCAGGCAGCAGCAATGAATGGCATTCTGTTCTCATTAATGGCGCATTATGTGGGTCAGAACGAATTGTGTATGCCCTTTAGCGCGCCAGCCAAATCAAGTGAATACTTAACTGAATAAAAAACTGTCTATTAACATTTTGTTAATATTGACAATACGATTTACATTCACTTCGCTTGCGCTTTTAATTTATCGCCTATCGATAAATAATATAATAATGTCAATTGTTTCAAAACACGATTCACACCAAGGTTAATTCTGTTCAATATTTGTCGTTTATCGGGAAATGTTTTTTAATCGCATTTTGAAATATCATGAATATCGATAATTTTGAAGTTTTTTGTAAACAGAATATCGATATCGATTAAGTGCGATCCTCATTCATGTTGCTTTCACTCTTCTTTCATCGCTTTTCGACAAATATAATTTTAATGTAAGACTGTAAAATAATTCTTAATATTATCCACACCTATATTGATTACGTTCAACATTTATCGTTTATCGCGAAAATAAATTTAATCGCTTTCTGGAATACCATGAATATCGATAAATTTAAGGTTAAATTGAATATCGCTATCAACTAAATGCAATCCACATTAACTTTGCTTGGGCTCTTCATTTATCGATTATCGATAAATGTTATATTGATGTATAGCTATAAAAAGTTCCGTAATTTGATTAACACCTATCTTAACATCGAACAACATTTATCATTTATCGGGAATTGTAAATTAATCGCGTTCTGAAATATAAAGACTATCGATAGTTTTAAAGTTAATTCTAGATAGAATATCGTTATTGGTTAAATGCGATCTACATTCAAATTGCTTGCGTTTTTTATTTATATATTATCGGATAATACTTAGACGTATTTTACAGGCGTCTTTGAATATCGTGATAATCGATACTTCGTAACCATCTTTACGATTATTATTCATCGTCTATTGAAAATATTATTTTTAACGCCTTTTCAAAAGTACCATGTGTAGGATTGCGCAATAAATAAAAAAAAAATGTTTAAAATTGAAAGCCTTAAATATTAAATTCAGAAAATTTTAATAACAATGTCTTATATCATAATAACAGAGTCAGTTTTCGTTATTACCTCCCATAGATCCACATCCAGCTGTGTGCTTGACTCTTTGTTCGGCTTGAGGCTTTTCGTTTTAGATTTCGTCTTTGATTTCTTATCCATGTTGTGCCACAATTGTTGCTGCTAATTGCATGCTATTCTCTGCCTTGTGTCTGTTGTGTTGCTGTTTTGTGCTGCAGCTTTTTGGGTATCTGTTTTGTGATTTATGTCACTTGCTTCATAAATTCAAATTTTCCAACAGATGGCGCTCAGTTGTGGCCCACGATTGCATAGCTTGTGTTTGGCCCTTTTGTGTTGGCCTTGTGTCCATGGGGCGTGGCTTGAGCTGTGCCCTTAGGTCATGTTTGTGGCACTGCTAGAAACAAAAGATAGACAATTTCGTTAATGATGCCGAACAATGGGTTGAGATAGAGGGAGAGAGAGGAAGCGAGAAAGAGAGGGAGAATTATAGGAACTTAATTCCAGTTTGCACAAATACTATTTAAATTGGAATTTCAGGTTCAATTAGCGTGAGAATTATACATTTGTTTTGCATAATATTTCCGTCATGCTTTTATTTTGTGTGTTAAATTTGGCATCTCAATTTGCATTTAAATTGTTAATATACCACGCTAATTAGCTCATATAAAAAGCAAAATTTTCCAACTATTGCTGCCCACACAGCAGCCGGGTTCATTTTCAATCCCATTTGATGGGTGTGAAAATATTGGCATTAAAGCTGCATCGATTCATTTCATTTTGCACTTTGACTGGCATTGAAAAGAGCCGCGTGCAAAAAAAAAAAATGAATTATATATATATAATATATATAGGAAAAACCTTCACATTGACATTCAAAAAGAATAAAAACAAAATTACATATATAAATATGAATAAATGCGTTGTATGCAGAATATATTTTAAATTAACTCAACTGATGCTGATGTGGGCGGGCAGATATCAGACAGCAGAGTTGGTTGTAACAAGGGCAGCTGGCTTTTTGGTTATGTTTACATATTGCAAACCTTACATCACGAACCTTACAGTTCGTGAACAAAAGATGCTGCTCAAGGAAAATTGAGATAACAGAGAAAATGGAGAAAATAATGCTGAACCTTGATGCAGATTATTTTGTGGCACAGGAAAATGCAAATAATATGTTACATTTTGATATTGATGTTGCGCAAACTACAGCAAAATATTGAATGAAGTAAGAATCTTGTTTGCATTACCAATTAGTTAAAAGTCTTGCATTTCTTTAAAGCTTACAATTCTTTGATATTTGCTTATTGATATTTTTATTTTTTTATTTATTTGATTTTATAATTTTTAATATTGTTGTTTTTTATAAAGCAACATAAGGTTTAATATAAGGTGAGAAAATTGTAAATTCTATCTCTCTGTCTAAATCTTAATCTTAATCAAGCATATTTATTTCACAAAGCAGCAATTTGTTATGCAAATTTGACAACTTGACAAACAAAATATTTGATTTTAAAATACGGAAAAATTCGTTGAGAAAACTAAAATCAATATTTTGCTGCGCGACATTGAAATTTAATGTTTCAGTTTATAAATAAAACAGTTTTCTCCCAACTAGCTGGAAACGCTTGATCCATTTTGTTTTGACCAATTTTTACTAAGCATTTTCTGATTAATGAATGCTTGAGAAAATGACGTGTCGTCAATGACACTTGAGGCCGTCAGCTCACACACACACACACACACACAGAGAGAAAGAGACTTTTGTGTTTGTGTTGGCCCATAACATTATGTGCTGTTAACTGTTAGATGAGATGCAATGAGCTGAGCTCTCATAAGCGATGCGCCATGTATGGTGCTCAGTTCTTGGTCACGTTTTTATGCGCCATTTTTGCCTTTGGGCTTGAATGTGGCCTTTGTGGTTGTTGCTCTTGTGTGTTGGCAATTTGTTGACAACTTTCATAATTAGGCAGCCAAATGTGCACTTAAGTGTGTGGGTGTGAACGCTTTTATGTCTGTTGTTGCTGGCGTTGGGGCTAGGGCTAGTTGGCCAGGTTAAATGGATGTTGTGGTCGCTACTGCATCTGGTTTATGAGGTCAGACAGTGGAATTTGCTGTTTAGGTAAGAAAACAATCATTTTGGCCAGTTCACTTGATTATTTCATTGAGTCAGCGCTTAAACGGCTTGGGAATTTTATAAACATTTTATATGCAAAATTTTTACATTTTTAATTGGATTTAATAGCAAATAAAATTATTAATTTTATAATAAAAACAAATGTTTATATAGCTCTTAATATAACTATGTAATTTATAGCATGGGCTTAAGGAGCTGGTAGATGATGCATTGATGTATGGAATTCTAATAACAAGAAAGTTAGGATAACATCGGCTCGCTAAAAATTAATACCCTTGTAGACCTTTGCTAACGGACTTGCAGACATGTGAGAATAGTAAAGCTCGCAAATGCTGAGTTTGATATAGTATAGTATAGTTAAGTATAGTATAGTATAGTACAGTATAGTATGGTATAGTATGGTATAGTATGGTATAGTATGGTATAGTATAGTATAGTATAGTTTGGTATAGTATAGTATAGTATGGTATGGTATGGTATGGTATGGTGTAGTATAGTATAGTATGGTATGGTATGGTATGGTATGGTATGGTATGGTATGGTATGATATGGTATGGTATGGTGTGGTATGGTATGGTATGGTATGGTATGGTATGGTATGGTATGGTATGGTATGGTATGATATGGTATGGTATGGTATGGTATGGTGTGGTATGGTATGGTATGGTATGGTATGCTATGGTATGGTATGGTATGGTATGGTATGGTATGGTATAATATAGTATGGTACGGAATAGTATAGTGCAGGAAATTCGTGTATGGTGGTATAGGTATAGTGTAGTTTAAAATAATATAATACTTGAAAATACGGATCCCAAAGAATTATATGGGCAGTGAAAAGTTTCCTAACGGACAACTTTTATCAGGCGGAAAAATTTCTAGGGCGGACTTTTTTTCTGAAATCATTTGGAATTAGGGCATACCTATTACACTCTTCTTGAGTGGACAAAGGCTACCTGACGCTGTCCGTTCAAGAGAGTTTCACTGTATACTACAGTAAAGAGAAGCGCAGTCAAGTATAGTCTGGTTGATTTTACTGGGTTGACTTTATTCTAGTTCCCTTTAGCATAGCTTACGAATGAATTAGAAAAATAAAATATACCAATTATTTTTTGGCCATTTTCTGCTTTGTTAAAATTCCAATTTTTGTTTTGCTGCTCTGTTTTTGCTGTTGTTCTTTTTTCTGATTGTTGGAAAACAAACTTTTTGGCATTTTGACTTATTCTGGTTTTTAACCACATTGTTGCCGTATCTGTTTTTGTTACGCTTTCTTTAAATTTTGTTGCTGTTATTCGCGCTCAGTTGAAACTGGGTCTAGAAACTGGGTTCGAGGCTGCGGCTGTGGCTGCGGCTTTTGTGCTGTGGCATTTGCTTAGCAAATAGTTTTTAATGATTCCAATGCTTGCGGCCAGTTTACGAATATATAGAGCTATATGCTTCATAGTCAGAGCCCAGCCTTGGATTCCACCAATACACACACACACACACTCTGAGAGACTGCACAACAACAAGAATGACAATCGTTTGGCTTTGTGCAAATTGTGCGGCAACGGCGTCGGCATTTGTTGCAAATAGTTTAAATGGCTGCCGGGGCAAATGGGTTTGTGGCACATTAACGGGGTGAGGCATTCGTGTAGCTATTAAGTTGTTAACAGGCAGTTAAAATGGCATTAAGAGTTTGTAATAGCGCAGGATTTAAACGAATTTTTATTGATTAACGCGCTGATATAAGAGCGTGAAGTTGCATAAAATTCGATAAAAATTTAAAGCGTGTTGTGAGAGCTACATAAAGTTGTTATGTTTCTTGTTGCTTATGAAAGATTTTCTTGTTCTCGTCTATGAAACAAACTTTTTGTTTTCAAAGTATTGCGCAACTGCAAAGACGGCTCATAAAACTAAGACAGAAAAACTTTGCTTTGTCAAGTCGATGTTTAAATACACTTTTCATAAGCTTTTAGAGGGTATTATAAGTTTGTCTTGACTCGAGAAAGAATGTATATTCTTGAACTTCATATATTCTCTTAATATATATGCAATATGGCATCAAAAGGCTTTATTTCTTCATATTCAGTAAAAATGGGCTCAAGCTGTAAATTTTATCCAAGCAAATTTAAACATCGAAGTAAACCTAAGTTATATGGGAGGAAAACTGATGATTCGATTAGAGGGCTTCGAATTTTTTAAAAAAGGAATAGAATTTATTTCTGGCCACATTTATTTGTTCTTTCATGCTGCTCTACTTTAAAACGTTGCACATTTCTTGACCAAATTAATTTACCCTCACTAAAGTGGCATAATTATATGTACATCATTTTTTTTTTTTTCTTTATGGAAAGCAAATTCATAAATTGCCCTTCGTGTGCGGCAATGCTCGTTACAAATGCAAAATTAACCTAATTAAATAAGCTGAGAGCTAACTTGGCTAATGGTTTTGCTTGTTTGAAAGAAATTCTTGTGAAAATAAAATATTGCTAGGCCAGCAAAACGTTAAGGGTTAAAATACGAGCAAAAGTGCTGAAGGGTTTTTCCTGTTCTCAATTAAATATAAATGATAGCAATTTTTAAGTATTTCTCGAGCATTGAGAGCTTGAGCAACCTTTTTCCCCAAATATGTTTTGGTCTTTATTATTTGCACACTTTTCAATTGTTCCAAAGTTGAAATTCAAATCGAGGCTGCAAATGAAAAGGGCTCTTTAATAATTATGATTATAACGCTCAACTGTAAATGACATTTACAAGTTAAAGCAGTTAAAAGGGAATGCCCCCAATGCAAGCAAAAGGAACTCCTTCCTGCCCAAAAACAATCGCTCATAACAGCTACTTTCTATAGCCCTTCAAAAATTGTATTGTTGCCAACACAAACATCAAATGCACACCCAAACACACACACACACACACACACGCAAGCACACAGCACACGGATTGACGAACTGTAATAAAAGTTTATAGCAGGCGCCTTGCCATCATTTTTCAGCGTTGCCAGATGTTGGACGTTAGAAGAGTTGCCAGCAAAACTTGCGGAAACTTCTTTAAGTGCTGAATCATGCAGCATATACCGTATAATTAATGTGCAGCGGCATGTCTATATGTGCACACATGCCTGTGTGTGCGTGTGTGTGTGTTTGTCTGTGTGAAAAACCCCAAAGTAGCAATTAAGTGTTACGTATACGCCATGAGGTACCCGCACGAGAGTAAAACTGAATCTGTGGTTGGGGGTTATTTTGTTGCTCTTGTTTTGTTTTGTTAGGTGCTTT